TACCGTCTTTGATTTATGCATCGTATAGTAGTCGGGGAATACCCCGAGTTTGATTCTATCTATGACCGCTAACATTTATATTTAAATATACTGATGTATTAAATAGATAATATTAATAGTATTACTTAAAAATATTGTGTTCGTTATATCCGATGTTCGTTATATCGATGTTTTACTTATTCTCAAGAATTATAGGGAATTTTAGTCATTGATGTCGGCCAAGATTATTTCTTCCCTCCTCTTCAAGCAAGGAAAGCTTGGTCTCACGTGGTTTCATAAAGCTCTGGTGGTCGTCGTACTGGAGATCTGGCCAAATGGTATCTTACCTCTTGTCAACAGTTCCAAGCTACAAACTAACTCAACCCAAGCCAAGTCAAGCCAAACCAACCCAAGACAAACCAAAAGCGACTCAACCCAAGTCAAAGCATCCCAAGTTAAACCAACCCAAGCCAAAATCTAACTTCACAAACCAAGCTAACCCAAACCAAGCCCCTCTTTTTATGTCTTTTGATGTTTTACTTATTCTCAAGAATTATAGGGAATTTTAGTCATTGATGTCGGCCAAGATTATTTCTTCCCTCCTCTTCAAGCAAGGAAAGCTTGGTCTCACGTGGTTTCATAAAGCTTTGGTGGTCGTCGTACTGGAGATCTGGCCAAATGGTATCTTACCTCTTGTCAACAGTTCCAAGCTACAAACTAACTCAACCCAAGCCAAGTCAAGCCAAACCAACCCAAGACAAACCAAAAGCGACTCAACCCAAGTCAAAACATCCCAAGTTAAACCAACCCAAGCCAAAACCTAACATCACAAACCAACCTAACCCAAACCCCCCTCTTTTTATGACCTATACATACTTGTAATATTTTCAATTTTGTTAGAATATTTAGAATTTTCTCTTTCTTTCTCTCTGCATGTTGCAGAGAGAACTTTACAGTCGTTTTACAGTCGTGCCTCAAGACGACTCATTCGTTCGACTCGAAACAATATTGTAGCACTGAAATTTATCAATAACTTTTCATCATAATAATATTACATTTTTCAATTTTTAATATAATGATGAACCTGGAGAAATCATTGGCTATTCTTTTAAAATTTTTTCTTATAAAATGTTGGATCATTTAAACCGTTTAAGTAAATCTTAAGTATATATTTTTTTAAAGTTTAATTTACCAATAAATTTTCATCATAATAATATAACATTTTTCAATTTTTAAAAGAAGCTTTTACAGCTTGACGACGGAAAAACGGTTAAATATGAAAGGAAAATATCTCACCGAGAGCCGCTATACCATCGCGGTGGACGTAACAATCACAAAATTACTCGACAATTATTCCTCCCGAGTATTTTAATTGCCGTTCGAGTTGAAGACCGGTTCTTGTGCCGCACATCTTCTCCTCCTTCTTGGTGGACCTCATGGCACTTACCCGCTTTTTCATCTCTCGTCGCGACTGTGCAATTCCGCGGTAATAAACGCAAAACAAAGTCGACATCGGCTCCGTTCACCACAGACTTTCATAATTATTGTCGTCATTTCGACATTCGTCGTAATTAACGATTAAAACGGGGATGCAAAAAAGCTTGTTAAAGTCTTCTTCGTCTTGCAAGTATGCAAGTATTCTTATCGCGAATAACTCAGGATTAATCCCGTGCTCATCTCGGATTACGTCACGGTTTATTATATGAAAACGAAGAAGAATTGCATATACGCTTAAGGTTATATGCCGTAATCATTTATGTCTCGCTTTTCTTGTAACATAATACCACGTTGTAATAACTAATAAGAAGTTAAATAAGAAGACAAATGTTCCAACAAAGAGTAAGGAAGAGAATGGTTTTCTCACGGATTCATTTGAATATCATAAAATATATTTTGTATCTGTAGCAAAAACTTAATTTCCTAATATAGTTTCTAGCAATTAGCACTTAAAAGCCCATCCCCTTCATATAATCTCTAAAACGCATCTAAGACGCAATTACACAACATTTACGGTCTTATTACGAAGGAGATAACGAGGCGGGTCTAATGAAAATATCTATATAGGGTTCGCCGCGGGTCAGATAACTACGAAACGGACAATTAAAACCAACCGTTCGTCTCCTACCATTTATAGATTGTTCATGCAAACAAGCACCTTGGAACTTGGAACGCGGTATACGTCACGAAACGACTTTGCATGTGAAATTGCAAAAGAACAAACGCGTAGGTCGGTTGATTTCTTATTTGACCAATACCTGGTAGAGAAGTACTCGGTATGATTGATGTTCCATTTTAGCCTGGTAATTCAGCTTAATGCATTTGTGTTAACGCCCACCGCGACTTCAACGACGACGTCGGACAACGCAAGATTACCTGTAATTCCATTGTTGAACCGCAATTTATCCGTAATGATTTCTGTAACTGGATGAAAAGAAGGAGCCAATAACATTATTTTTTGTTTGTCATCTACATCCCGTCTTTTTCTTATAACTACTTGCAGTAAAACCTCGATATAAAGGATTAAGCACAAAAATCCGTTGTACGAAAAATTTTTAATTTGTTCTTTAAAGACTCTGAAGATGCACGGCTAAAAACCGAAATTTTCTAGTTCTAGGTCTAAATATACAACAATCTAACGTTGAATAACAACTAATGCTATAACTTACACTAGCGTTAGAACTAATACTAGACCTAGATCTAGTCCCTAAAACCCAAATGTGCTACGATATATTTTTTGTATATGATTTTCAAAAGATTGAGTTACTAAAAAACAAAAGAGAAAATAATAATAATAGACTTCACCATTTTTTATAAATACTCCACTTCGTGTCTGGTATCTAAAATTATAATACAAGTGTTAGTTTAACTTTTAGTTTAATAAGATAATTGTATATTCTTTAAAAGCAAGAAAAAGGCTGTAAGTACGCTGGTCAGCAGTATGTGCTCTTCTGGAAATAGTATTTAACTATTTTCCAACAGTATCAAGTCTTCTGCCTGTAGTATATAGTCGTGTATTATCAATATCTAATCTCCTACACACACTATAGTCTTCTACCAGCAGTATATAGTCTTTTGCAAGTAATGTGGTCTTGGTGATACTTGTACGTCGTGTATTTCTTCCCTCCTCTTTAAACAAGGAAAGCTTGGTCTCACGTAGTTTCATAAAACTCTGGTGTTAGTCATACTGGAGATTTGGCCAAATGGTATCTTACCTCTTGTCAACTCTTCCAAGCTACAAACTAACTCAACCCAAGCCAAGTCAAGCCAAACCAACCCAAGACAAACCAAAATCGACTCAACCCAAGTCAAAGCATCCCAAATTAAACCAACCCAAGCCAAAATCTAACTTCACAAACCAAGCTAACCCAAACCAAGCCCCTCTTTTTATGACCTATAGATGTTTCTTTGTATTCTTGAAAGATCGCCTCCTCCTTCCAAGGCTTTTGGCAGCCAACCCAGCCCAACTGAACCCAAGACAAAACAAACCTCTTCAACCCAAGCCAAAGAATCATCTCCATTACACACTGAATAACTAAAACTAGAAGTAACACTAGCATTAGAACTAATACTAGACCTAGAACTAAAAACATTCGGGTTTAGCCGTCTTAAGAGACGTACGGCTAAACCCGAATGTTTCCAGTTCTAGGTCTAGTGCTACTTCTACTTTTAGTTCAATAAAACTAGAGATGCCGCGAATACTGACTATTATTCGGTATTCGGCATTACTCGATAATTTTTTGTTATTCGTGGAATACCGAATAATAGTGGGTATTATTCGACATTTGGCGAATAGTTGTCTAAAATAAACTTCTAATGGACAAAAAGCTATAGCTTTAAAATTATTCAACTTTGTTTTCAAACCCTTTGTTTTTATTTTTTTTCTTTACTTTAAATTTTTGGTTAAAATTCGTTCTTTCCTTTTTGAGTTTATTTGTTTGGGTTTTTTATTTATTCTTTAAGTTCCAAAGAGGGCGGTTTTTGTTGCAAAAAAATTAGTTTTTCTGCACGATTGGGATCAAGGTGGTTGCGCTTTTCTTCATAAATTAAACCTGCCTCTGAAAATAGTCTGAATAAACAGAGCTTCCTGGTGTGATTAAGAATCCCACCATTGGGATTAATGGGTAACCCATCATTCATATGGGTTTATACTTCTGTCAGCCTTTGCTAACGCGATGTAGTAGGTGATTTCTTCAGCAGTGGCATTCTTGGGTTGCTCTTCAGAAGGTTGCTCTGTCGTAGATTTTTCAAAACATGTCCAAAATAGTTAATGAGTTTCTGAATCGTCATTCCTACTTTCATTGTCTAAACGAGGTCTTTTGGACGCCATTTCTGGATCTGAATCATCATTTTCGTCGTCTAAAGACCCCCTAATTGTAACACCTTGTCTGAGCGCAACTCTACGGACACGTTCAGCTTGGGCAGCGTCAAAGAAGTAGTTCTTGTAGCGGGGATCTAAAAATGTCGACAACTAATATGTCTTGTTAAACAGATCCTCCAAGTTAAAACGGGCTTGCTCAACGTGTTCAGCTTATTGAATCAGCGCATCTTTCAGTAGGTATCTAGTTAATGAAACTGTTTTAGGTATCACATCTGATATAGGTGCATATGTGGAACTCGTTATTTTTGTTATCTCTTCGACAGGTTTTAAAAGCTTTAACATTTATTCAATAATCTCCCGCTGGTCGCTGGTCAAATTTACTAAATTCACGCTCCTTGATGACAAATGCGTGCCGCCCAACCTAAACACAAGCGAAATCGTTTAAGCACCTTTTGAGCGCTAACATTTATATTTAAATATACTGATGCATTAATAGTATTACTTAAAAATATTGTGTTCGTTATATCCGAAATCCGTACTGACGATGTTCGTTATATCGATGTTTTGCTGTATTCTCAAGAATTATAGGAAATTTTAGGCCATGTTAATCAGTTTGATTCATTCATGAAAGGGTATAATAAATGTTAAAAAGGATCGATCGCCGAATTTATTACCATCGCATTTAAAAGTTCCCCATTAATTCTTTTCCTTTTATCTTTCAGTGTGTATTGGGACGAACGGTCGCTTGTCGGTGCCATCGAACAAGCTGCATCATTACAGGAACCTGAAGGAGCGGTTCTCAAACTGCACCTACGTCGATGGAAACCTGGAATTGACTTGGCTACAGGAAGAGATGGACCTAAGTTTCCTGCAGTACATCAGGGAGGTGACCGGTTACGTGCTTATATCCCACGTTAATATCCACAACGTGGTCCTACCGAGATTGCAAATTATTCGAGGACGAACGCAAATGAAACCGCAAAGTATGGAGCAGGAATTTTCTTTGCTCGTGACGCACTCTTCAATGTTTACGTTGGAATTGCCGGCTTTGCGGGATATTTTAAATGGTGGTGTTGGATTTTTCAACAATTATAATTTGTGTCACATTAAAACCATCGAATGGGATGAAATTATGTCGCAGTTTAGCCCAAAAAATAATTCGTAAGTTAACTCAATATCATTCAAATTTTAATTTAATAAAAAATGTTTTTTTTTGAAACAGATTTGTGTACAGCTATAATTTTTCTTCGCCTGAACGTACTTGCCCAGCTTGCCATTCACGTTGTGAAAGAGGTTGTTGGGGAGAAGGAGAACACAACTGCCAGAAATTCTCTAAATTAAACTGCAGCCCTCAATGTGCGGGAGGAAGATGTTTTGGAACGAACCCCCGCGATTGTTGCCACCTATTCTGTGCTGGAGGTTGTAATGGGCCAGATAGAGGGGATTGCATAGCATGCAAAGTTTTCTATGATGATGGTATTTGCACTGAAGATTGCCCACCAATGCAAATTTATGATCCAGAAACATATTCTTGGAAACCCAACAAAAACGGAAAATACGCCTATGGGGCTACTTGTGTTAAAAATTGTCCTGAGCACCTTTTAAAAGATAACGGTGCTTGTGTTAGAGCTTGCCCAGAGAATAAAAAGGCTGTTAATGGATCATGCGTAGCTTGCGAGGGATCTTGTCCAAAAACGTGCAAAGGAGATGTTTTGGTTGATAGTGGAAACATTGATTCGTTTCGTGGATGCACCATCGTTGAAGGATATTTGAATATCTTAGAAAACAGTTTTCTGGGGTACCAAAAAATATTTTCAAATTTCAGTTTCGGCGATCGATTAACCCCTATGCACCCAGATAAATTAGAAGCATTCAATTCCCTCAAAGAAATCACAGGGTACTTGAACATTCAAGGCGCTCACGTAGACTTTAAGAATCTCTCCTATTTTAAAAATCTCGAAATCATCCATGGAAGGCAAACGACCGATTATTATTTTAGTTCTTTTTACGTCGTAAAAACCTCTTTGGAATCGCTAGAACTCCGATCGTTGAAGCAAATCAAAGCTGGAAATATCGCAATATTGGAAAATAAAAATTTATGTTACGTCGATTCGATAAATTGGTTAAAATTATTAACTCGAAGCGATAGAAAGGAGAAACTCATGGTGTATCAAAATAATCAAAATTGCTCAGCAGAAGGATTAGTTTGTGATGTGGAATGCACTACGGATGGTTGTTGGGGTTATGGTCCAGATCAATGTTTATCATGTAAACATGTTAAATTTGAAAATACGTGTCTTCATAATTGTACAGTTTTACCAAGGTAAATATTCAAAATTATTATTAGTATGTTTTACTCTAGCTATTTTTCACCTTTTTATGTATTATATCCTTCCCAACCTTCAGACACATTTATTTGGTGCTCCTTTTGGTTCTCATTGCTTTCTTCGTGTAAAATTTCATGCTGAACTACTGCAAACTGATTCCATGCTATGCTGCAATGTTTCTGCCATCTACTAGAAGCTTCTGCCATACTTCTATAGTGCTTTTTCCAGATGTGTCATGTACCACACAAGATACATTATGTTCAGAAGCATGATATACATCATAATATACTATAAATCTAGTAACTGTCTCAGATATAATATGTTATATACATATTTTAAAAAATATAACAATAAAAAGAACAGAGAAAATGTATCCAGAACTATCTTAACTTGTTTAGAAGCATGGTAAGGTACCCGAAGCTTCTGGCGAAGTGATGCTTCTAACATGTGCCTTCCTGAAGTTGCAGTTACGTTTTTACGAGAAGCTTCTTCCTTGTTTCTCTCAAAAGATTAATGCACCAAGAACTAAGTGGAATAGTCAAGTAGTGTGGTGGAAATAGAAAACATATTTTTCCAAAACAATTTTAAATCGGTTGAAAGGAAGATAGTAATGTATCAGAAGCTTTTTTGATGTTTCTGTACGATGGTTCTACCATGTGTATCCAAGAAGCTTCTACTATTTCCTTGCCAGAAACTTCCACCTTGCTTGTTTCAAAACGTTAGAGTACATGTTCTAAGAAGCACGGAAGTAACTACATATATATAGCAATAAGTAGCAATTTCTCCTCAATGAGATTATACTCGGTTGGCACCTTTAGTTCAATCACTATGTCGTCTAATATAAATCACTCAGTGTCTCTCTCATCCTCTCTCTTATTGCCATTCAACATCTCTCATCTCTTTTCAACAATTTTGTATCAACTTGACACATCAACACTTAATAGGCTAATACCTTATTTCAATTTTTGTACTATAACATTTTTCAAAATACTTATTTTTCTTACAGATTATATCAAAACGAAAAGAACGAATGTAAACGCTGCCACGACGAATGTTTCTCATCTTGCCACGGTCCCGGAGCATCAAATTGTTCAGCTTGCAAAAATTTCAAAGACGGCAAAATCTGCGTTCCAAAATGTGCCAAAGGGATGTACGGCGAAAACGGAATCTGCAAACAATGCCACGACACCTGTATTGATGGTTGTACCGGTCCTCTCAATATCGTCGGTTCCGGAGGTTGCAATAAATGTTACAAAGGAATCGTGAATCACACCGTCATCGAATGCATCAAAAAGAACGACGAATGTCCGTCCGGTTATTACTTAGAACTCTCAGATCCCCGTGATACCCCCGAAAAGAAAACGCAAATTGGAAATTGTAGGAAGTGTCATCCGAGGTGTAAGCAATGTACTGGTTATGGGTTTCATATTCCCGTTTGCCAACAGTGTATGAACTATAAAAAAGGTGAAACGTGCGAGGATGAGTGCTTAAAAGATCATTATCCCAATGAAGAAACCCATGAGTGTTTACCCTGTGATGTGGAATGTAAAGGATGTACCGGACCTGGACCAACACAATGTTTGGCATGCCAAAATTTAAAAGTTTACGAAAGTGCAGAACCAAGCAATACCAGTACATTCACCTGTAAGGCTTCTTGTCCAAAAGAATTACCATACCGATTATTTTCCGAAACTAACTCCGATTCCTATTGTTCTGACAAACCTAAAGTTAGTCCATTAACCGCTAATCCGGCACCTTCAGTTGTTGTGCTTTCTGCAACTGGTGGAATAGCAATATTAATTATCATCATTGTAATGTTCATCGCTGTATACAGATGGAGACGCGTTAAAGATAAAGAAAATGCTTTAAAAATGGTTCTTAACGGCTTAGAAGATAACGAACCATTACATCCCTCCAGTGTTGGTCCAAATCTTGCTAAATTAAGGATTATTAAAGAGATGGAAATGAGAAAAGGAGGAATTTTGGGTTACGGCGCCTTTGGTACTGTGTACAAAGGTGTTTGGGTTCCTGAAGGTGAAAATAACAAAATACCAGTTGCTATTAAAGTTTTAAGAGAAGACGCTGGAATTAATACCAGTAAAGAATTTTTAAGTGAAGCTTACATAATGGCCAGTGTTGAGCACCCAAATTTATTACAATTATTAGGTGTTTGCATGACTAATCAAATGATGTTGGTTACCCAATTAATGCCACTTGGATGTCTCTTAGATTTCGTGCGTAAAAATCGTAACAGAATTGGTTCAAAAACTTTACTAACTTGGTGTACTCAAATCGCGCGAGGAATGGCTTATCTTGAAAATAAACGTTTAGTACATAGAGATTTGGCAGCAAGAAACGTTTTGGTACAAACACCCGGTTGTGTAAAAATTACCGATTTTGGTTTAGCTAAACTCTTGGACATCAACGAAGAAGAATACAAAGCCGCCGGTGGAAAAATGCCGATTAAATGGCTCGCCTTAGAATGTATTTTGCATAGAATTTTTACGCACAAATCCGACGTTTGGGCTTTTGGAGTCACCATTTGGGAATTACTAACGTTTGGTGAAAGACCGTATGATAATATCGCTGCAAAAGATGTTCCTGAACTCTTAGAAAACGGCGAGCGTCTTCCTCAACCGCAAATGTGCAGCATTGAGGTTTATATGTTGATGGTGAAATGTTGGGTTTTGGACGCTGATAGTCGACCGAGTTTTGAAGAATTAGCCGATGACTTTGCGAAGATGTCTAGGGATCCTGGACGATATTTGGTTATTCCTGGTGATACACATTTAAAATTAATTACTTCTTCCTCACAGGTAAGAATCATAATTTGTACTAAATTTTATGTATACTAAATCGTTTCTTTATTTATTCCAGAGTGATACAGATACATTACGTCACCACACCGATTTATCCCAAAGTCATTCAGGAGGTGAAGACCAACTTAGACCAAAATCAAGAGCACCTCTTCCTTCCTTTATTTCAATGGGATCAGAAATGGGTAATTCAATATCCCATTACCCAACATCAATCACTTCCGATGGTAGCTGCGCCCCACAAAACCAACACAATTGGAATCAAGAACGTTTGCGTAACGCCCAACGATTAAAACCCAAATCACTTCACATTCTCAGCACTGACAGTTTGAGATATTGCAGTGATTTTAACCCCTACATCGGCGACGAAATCGTCAGTTCCGATGAATACGATTCCGGAAGATCCCAAGCGCAAGTTGGAAATTTAAAATTGGAACTTCCAGTCGATGAAGATGATTATCTGATGCCATCACCCCAACAAACTCAAACTTCGACATACGTAGATCTAATTGGTGATTCGAAAAGTTGTGATAGTTCTAATTCAAATCTTTACAAAGCGTACGCTGAATTTGCAAAAACTAACATCGATAATCCCGAGTATTTGATGAATCCGGAATCGATTCCAACGCAAACTTTAGGTATTCCAACAGTTTCTGGACGTTTAGAAGCGACGACTTCCGGTATGGAAGGTGTCAGAACCTATCATCCTCAAAAAAGTATAGAAGAGGAATCCGATCCTGAATACTACAACGATTTTGATCGGTTACAAAGGGAAAAGCAGCCGTTGCAACAAAAGAATGAAACAGCCGTGTGAAAGTTTGCGAAACATTATTTATTTTACGTACTTATATTTAGAAAGACTCTGTAGACATTATTATTACATAAATACCTGGTTTTTTTAGTAGTGTTAAACAAAAGGACCAAACGACAAAAAAAAAATATGAAACACACTACGACAATACTATAGTGCCATTTTGCGATTACGAAAAATGGCTGATGCTTACGTTATGTCTATAAAAAAAACTGCAAATGAATTATATCAATGTAAATATTTTTTGTTTGTAAAACGTGTCTTGGGTAAGAAGGCTTTATTAAGGAAGAACAAAGCGACTCGAATCGAATTCAATTCCTAATTAATCATCTCTTGCCCAAATTGTCTGTGATATTTTTTACCTACTTGTTAAGAATCTATTTTGTATATATACGAGAAATTTATCAATTTGTAAGTTGTAATTTGGAGTATGTTAGCATGTTTCTTTTTGTCTAAAAATTGAATTTTGCACAAACGTGCCATTCTGATGTAAATATAGTTTTAAATAAAAGATTTATATTATGTTTTTGTTTGATTCTTTTTAAATCATAATTAACCATAATAAATAAACATACTAAATAATAAATATGTCAATTACATAACATATTTATATAATAAGGTACAATAACATTTTTCAATGTCGGGTTATTTTAACAATAAGACCTAGCAAGTTAGAAGAGCTCTTCAAAAGCTCAAAGAAGAATTCATGAGCTCCTATCTATCTTATTGTCCAGAAACAATAAGCAAAAATGAACGCCGTTTGCTAAACATTTGGCAGAAGTTTTTTCTCCCAACCCAGAACAAAACAATCAAGAGATGAGCAATGTTGAAAACTAAAGAACAGAAAACATCACACCAGGTAGTCCTAAAGAAGTGGCAGATGAGATAAAAACTTACCAACATCGAAAGAAAGCTCTAGAATGAGGTCGAATCATCACAAGAGAAATCCTAAAGCATCTGCCTAGGAAAGGTCTAGTGATGTTGACCTATCTCTTCAACGCAGCCCTTTCGTTAAAACATTTACAGCCATATTGGAAAGTTGCTCAATCATGTGATAAGACCCATGGTAGCTCACGGAGCCATAGTTTGGTGCTCAGCACTAAAACATGCATATAAAGCTAAATTGCTGCATCAATTGCAACGACAGGCCTGCCTGCTAATCACAGGCGCTATGAGATCTACACCTACGATTGCGATGAAGACTATGCTGAACGTGCTGCCCTTAGATATTCTTATTAGGGAGGTGGCCGTGATGACGTTGCTTCGATTGCGATCAGTAAATAAGCAAGTTGTTAAATGGGAAGCTCTGGAGAGAGGCTGTTCGTAAACAACCCCTCCTTAAAGCTCACACAGACTACATTACACCTACTTTCTTAGACACGCTTTGGCATTGATACGATACTCCAGAGCAACTCAAGCTCGAGCAAAACGTTGACCATATACACTGATGGATCAAAGAAGGCTGGAGGTTCAGGAGCGGAAATTTTCTGGCACGATTTCCAGCTTTACCTTTCCACTTTGTTAGGATCGTATTGCACGACTGCTCAAGCCGAAATAACTGCTATAAACATAGCAGCCAATACGATCATCGACTCCAAAAAAGTCGGCAGAAACGTTGTAATCTGTACTGATAGCAGGCAGGCTTTGCTTGCGGTTGGTAGGCACCAAACTACATCATTGTTGGTGAAGTCCTATTGGCAATCACTCGAGGAGGCAAATGTATAAAACAAAAAAGAATTAACTATACATCGGAATTAAAGGACATAATCATGCGGACAGGCTGGCGAAACGGGCGGCTAACAAGTCACCGATCTCCCCTGAACCGTTTGTAGCACTAGCCGTTAATACAGCATCAAAGCTGATAAACTCCATCTCCCATCGAGCTTTTTGCGACAGATGGGATGGGACAGCAGCAGGTGTCTTTGCTGAGAAAATCGGAGAAAGAAAGAAAATCAGAAAGATCTACTCAGTTTCTAGGAAAATCAAAAAGTGACTTGAGGCTTCTCACCCACTTCCTGACACTGCAGGTTACGTACGCACATGTTCTACATGAAGCTGGCGAATACACCCCTCTGTAGAGGGTGTGAAATGGAAGAGGAGACGGTAAGTCATATTGTTTGTGACTGTCCCAACCTCGTGTACTTAAGAGAATCCATTTTCGATTGGTGTAAAGTGAAATAGTCAAGTTCGATTCCATTCCAATCCTTACAAAAGGTCATCATTATCATATTCACTTTCTACACATAAAATTACACTTCTTTTCACGTTTTAGCCATTTTTTTCTTTAATAAAAAAGACCAAAGAGTTGCAAAGGTTGATGCCTGTTTTGGTTCAAGAGTGGTACCTACGCAAAAAGGTTCAGAACTGTTCGGAACTACAGAACTCTTCAACCAAAATAGGCCTATTAGCTTAAAATCGGCATCAGACGCAGCAAAGAATGATGCATGAAAATGGCTCCACTCCACAGCTTATTAAGGTGTTCATAGAAGAGAACTTTTGTATTATGAGTTAATTTGGTTCTGCTTATCTTATCTTTGTAACGCGAAGGTATTCCTTATAGAGGGGAGCATTAAATAACCTCGATGAGTTACATGGAATGTTGGGACATTTCTTTCGCGATATCAAAATACTAGATATGTAGATATGAAGATATTTCTTCATGATAGCGTGAAAGACTTCCTGGATAAAACTGAAGATATAATTGAGAGGATACTTTTGACGAATTTTGAATAAACCAAGATCGTGAATGTGGGAGGAGACAACAAACGAGCCTAATTGATTCTAGTTACAGGTTCGAGTCGAGAAATCATATGTGTCTAAATCTAAAATAACATAACTTCGTCATATTTCAGTTTATACTGATTTCTGAAATCTCTCTAGCACACACTTCAATTCGATTAAAAATTCAATTTTTTTATCCCGATTCATATTCTGATATGGCGTTCAATTTATGCAACACCAGCCTATGATGAGAGTTCTGGAATCACCCAGTCATAGGGTTGCATACTAAAATAAACTTCCCTTCACACAAATTAAGCTTTATAATTCTAGAATTCGAAGCAACAACGTATTTCAGATTAATCAACAGTTAGTGTGGGAAGTTCTGAAATCATTCATTAATATGAGTCTTCTGAAATTCAGTCTGTTCTGACTTCTGCAATCTTTCTATATCATATTTGCGTTCGCTTTAAAACTTACTGCGATTCTTGAATCTGTAGCAATAGGTGTCTTATAATTAGTTAATCTATTGTATCCCGAGAGATAAATTTATCAAATTTCACCATGCAGACCAATGCTTTTAACGAACCTTAATGTTTTGCTGGGTGAAAAGTCTCATTCCAGGAGAACTGGTCCAATACCAAATACTTCCGCCTGGAATACAGTACAGTACGTACCCAGGCTTTAATCCGAAGTGGCTGGCAGTATACTCGTGTCCCGACCCCTTCCAGCGTTTTTGATCCGTCTGTGAACATGCAAATATCTGCCTGAACCAGAGAATTTCCGTTTTCGATCCAGGACTGTCGTTAAGGCAGTACAATCTGGTATCGAGCATTAATCACTAATAGTGATCCCGTGAAATTTGACGGCATTGATAGTACAATATCAGTAGCATAGAAAATAGCATCGTAGAAATGCAACTCTCTAAACAGAAACTTCGTACTAAAAATTGAACGCATATGGCGCTATCTGTTGGGGATATTTTGGAATTATTCAGCCAAGAACCGAACCACTAGAATACAGGTTGGATTGGGTTTATATATAAAAGCTCCAACCACAGAATAACTGTTTGGAGCCACTATGTGGCTCCAATTAACGTTCCGACTGGTTGGGAATCCCTCAGATGCAATTACCTATGGCAATTACACCTGTTAAATAATGCCCCACATTTGAATATCACTGCATCATATGACATGTAAGATTGCATCTGAAAAGCTTCCAACAACTTATAACGTTATCTAAAACAAAGCTATAATGTCAATTATAATCTAATTATTTAATCATACCATTATTACTTTATTATACTCTTACCGAAAAATCACTTTAAAATGACGTTTTCATCTGTCATTCTGAACAAACTTCAACCCTTGTTTATCAACTTTCAACTTTATAATTTTAAACGTTGAAGTTTGCGGCAAACTTAAAAATATAATACGAATTGAAATCTATACTTTTTAAATTAAAAGAATGATACTGGTAATAATTGTTATTGCTGTCTCTCATCATTCCTACTATTAATAATAAGATTGTTAGTTTAATTAAGCTATTTCAGTATAGACGCTAGTGCCATCTTACGGTGGGATTTCGACATACAATCAGTCCCAAGTTCTATCAAAGATCCCTGGGTGTCAGTAGGACATATCGGGGCAATTTTATTGGTAGTTGTAGCCACTTTCCCTATATGCAAATGCAAAAAGGATTTCTTGTACAAACATAATAAATACCAATTTTTGTAATTTTCAAATTCAATATATCAAAGTCGGTAAAATAGAATTCGTTTTATCTTTGAATAATCTTGATGGATTTAAAGTACATTACGCACTTTAGTGATCAAAAATTTGACGAAACTTTATTGAAACACGTCAATAAAATTGTTATTATTATTTTTATTTAATAACATTTAAATAAAACAATTTATTTTAAGTAATTTTTTTCTGGTTTCATTAAAAGATGTCGCTATTAATGTCCTTGAATTGAAACGTTAAAAAATACTTTAGATAAGTGACAGTTGTAATGCTTTGATTGGAAACCAGCTTTTTTATAAATATTAGATCTTATGTTATAATAATTTAACTCAAAATGAACTCAAAAATAATCGTTATACTGTTAATAGCAAGTTTTAGTGTAAGTATAACGTTATTGAATAAACACCCAAATTTATAAATTTTATTTTAGCCTTTATCCCTTTGCGAATTATCCACATCGGATTGTTGGGAATTAGGATTTAACAAGGCTAATTTACTATGTTCATCATGCGACCAATTATCAAAGTTTAACCTAGATGAATTAGAGTAAGTTAATAAAAAAGACCCAAAATAAAATCTAACCTCAAAATTATTTTAGACCTTTTTGTAAAGATTGTTGTCATCCTGATGAGACTAATACAGTAGCAAAAACTTACGCAAAAGCTATCTTGGAAGTATGTACCTGCAAATTTGGAATTTACCCTCAAATTCAAGCGTTTATAAAGAGTGATCGCCCATCTCAATTTGCTAACTTACAAATAAAATATGTTAGAGGTTTGGACCCCATTATTAAGTTGTATGATAAGGATGGATTTTTAAAAGAAACTGTTGCTATTGAGAAGTGGAATACGGATTCTGTTGAGGAATTTTTAAATACACATTTAGAGAATCCTGATTATTTAAAGACCAATATGATTTGATTTAGGTTTTGATAATAAAATATTGGAATTTTTTATTTTGAAATTTATTTAGATTTAATTTTTTTATGCTTTTAATTTTACAATGTTGTTATCCACTAAAACTTCATTAATTTTTCCTAGTTTCTTATTAAACTTTTTATTAAATTTATTTATGTTTATATCATCACCATATAAACTTTTATATTTCTTTAAAACTTTCTTTATTAATTTTTCTAGCAACATCCCCTCATCACCCTTTTTCTTTATAATGTTTTTAATTTCATTTTCTAAGGAGAAAACTTCTTCATTAACATCATTTTCATTAATATTAATTTCAACATTATCATTTTTAATTTTTTTCTTCTTTCTTAATTGATTCTCATCAATTCCATTCCCATTTTCTTCATTTAATTTCCTTTTTTCAGTTCCATTACTATTATTGGGAACTTTATCAGCCTGATTTTTGTTAGATTCATTTTTATGCTTCTCAATTAAATCCCAAACACCTTCAATATCTTGAATTGGACATTTCCCCCCAGTTGAGCTCTTAATAAAGTTCTAAAAACAATCACTTAATTATTTTATAAATAAGCAAAGATAAAAATTACAATAAATTTTTGTTTCTTCCTTGGAACATTGGTAAAATTACATATGTTATTCAGCAAATTCTTACATCCTGGGGAAATATTAACTTCATGCATTAAAATCGATTTAATCATTTCCATCCAAGATTCTTGTTTAACTTCCCCTTTTTTAGCTTTCTCCACATAATCTTTAGAACCATATCGTTGATTTTCAGTGATACATTTCGTATGAACGACGTATTCTTCACCTCTTTATAAAAGAAAGTTTTAAATTAATTCATAAATCTCGTTAAAACTCACCGAAAATCTTTAAAACAATCAACGCAAGTCAAATTTTTGGCCCCTCTACATGAAAAACTAAAATGTTTCTCAACTTTCGGCTTTTGCAAACTTTCGCCGCAATTATTACAAGTAAAAACAACCATTTTCTTACAATAAAAGTTTTTAATGTTGACAATTCAAGTCCGCACGTGGAAATGAATCTAACCTCAATTTTTATTTATTATTGACACTTTGTGATGAAGTAAAGCACCCTAGCGGATAAAATCAAAACTAATTAAATTTAAACTTAAAATAAATTTAATTTTGTGATAAATTGATTTTAACATAAATATTTAATTTAAAAAACAAAAAAATATAATTTTATTTATTAATAAAACTAAAAATAAGAAATATATTCAGTTTTATTTATCTTTTTGTGTTACTGAAACGGTTGGTAATTCTGGAACCTACACGTCATACGTCAAAATCCTTGTCAATTCGAAACTGCAAGTTTTTGTGGTTTTTATAGGTTATGTGATTGAAAAGAACAATAAATTTCAGATAAAATGACCTTTTTGAAATCATGGGAAGAATTTGAGAAAGCAGCGGAGCGATTGTACCTTCAAGACCCATCTAAGGTTCGATACACGATGAAATATGTGCACTCAAAGAACCATTTACTTTTAAAAATGACCAACGATGTTGTTGTAAGTCAAGAATAATTAAAATAACGTCTATCTCCACTAAATTTTTTAATTAACATTTTCAGTGTTTACAATTTAAAACAGAAATAGCCCAAGATGTAAGAAAGATCGATAAATTTATTAACAATCTTATGAGGCATATGGCATCCAAGGAGCATTAAAATCAACATTTTTATGTAACTTAAATAATAAGTGTTTGTATTGTTTAAATATAATTATAATTTTGAAGAAAATCCGTCTTAAATTTATTAATTAAGGATAAAAATCATCTTAGCAACAATTATTTTAATAAATTAGAGGTTATGTCAAATTGACAATAAAGACAAATCAAAAACAAAAATCCTCATTTTATTTAAATAATAAAATTACACAAGCATTTACATAATATACATCTCAAATACATCATTAAATTACATAAAATGCGATTGTACAATTTAAAAGAAAATTCATTTATATCCCAAAGTAAATAAAATTAGGTTAAAATTATCTAGGTTAAAATAAATAAAATTTGCAACTAAAATAATTAAATAAGCTATTTCACAAGCATTCATAAGAGACGATTAAGTAGTGTGTTTAGTCACTAAATTACATTGTAACTGGGTTTTTAAGGTATATCAACAATCAGGGGGTTGAACTAATGAATACTCAAATTCATTATCTTATGCAACTCTAAAATATCACTGAACATCCTGATGATAACAAAGCTAAACTAGGTTTTTACCTATCTACTTTATAAAAATCATTGGTAATGGTGTGTGTGTATATAATACTTTTTTTTAATATTTTTGTTGTTACTTATTCATTTATCCCGTGGTTACTTGCCATACTATCAAATGATTCTTGACTCCTTTTACTTCACCCTGAGCGTTATCTAAATCACTTGTTTTATCACCAATCATGCTATCTTCCATATCTCCATCACCTATAATATAAAAGTGTTCAAGAAAACGAAATAAAAGACGTTAATAGATTAATGGTTAAAAATGATATAATAAGAAACAAAAATGTAAATATAAAAAACTAAATAATGATTAGAAAATCTAATCTAATTGTTCCAACAATAACCTACCCTAGAGGATTTCCAGGAATATCGTACATTAGCTGCCAAACTATAAGATGAGAAGCTCCGTCTCTAGGATCATCGTCCTCTGCAATTTATTTACGACACATTTGATTCGAATAAGTGATTAATTAATTTTTTTATGTTGTGAATGCAAAGGTAACAACAAATAATATTAGCGTTAAAAAGTGCCGATGCAAGAAACGAGGAAGAAAAAAGTTGTTAGTAATTATTTACACCACATTCAATCTTTGTACAATAATTTTTTTCTATTTATTTATCTTGTAGATATTCCCAGTAAATCCAATTTTATTTTTAGTTCTCAGTGCGCGAATCTAATCTACGTACAGAAATAGTTTTAAAAGATTCGAAAAATATTTTCGTAGTTGTTTTTATTTCAAAGCTTTTAAAACAATTCTTATAAGCAAATTTATATGGGCGAAAAGAAAATCACATACGACATAACATCCACAAGTGAAATTTAATCGTGATTAAACTTACCAATTCTGAAATCAATGTATCCTTCACCTCCAGACATAACTAACATTGCAGCAGGTGGTTTTGTTGGACCTCCTATTGGTGTTATTGAAGCCGAATGTGCTTCTGATGGTGTTGAAGCTGCACTCATACCTTAAAAAAAAATCAAAAGTATTGTTATTTTTAGATCAAAATAAATGAAATTGTTACATATAATGTATTAAAAAATGGATAACATATTTTTATTATTAAAAAAAAAAGAGTTTTCTTTGCAACTCAAATAAAATTGAATAGATAACGCTTATATTTATGATATTAGTTTGTTTTTGTTCAACATATTTGAGATGAGTATACAATAAGAGTTGTAGCTATATCATGTGCAAATGATTTGTTTTAAGATTTTTGTTGGATTAAAACTTGAAACAACTACAAAAAAATGTAAGCAACATCTTATTCGACAAAGAAAAGATAACCAAACTTGCTAAGATCACGCCGAACCAATTTCCGACGTTGAAGGAACCAAAAGGAAGAAAAAAGAAAGCCTGGAAGTAGATCAAAGTAATGAAATACTAGAGGAAAAAGCAAGATGGGAGATTAGCCCAAATAATAAAAAACGAACAGAAGCTAAAGAGGAAACAAGCAGTTCAAAGGAAATAAGGAAGGACAAGCAGCAACGTCTTAGAAAAAAGTGTAGCCAAGAACGAAGAAAAAATATAGAAGACAGCCAGAAAAGAAAAGCTAACTTTTTACAGAAGAAGTTAAAGACTTCAAAAACTTCAACACTAAAATATAAATATAAGAATAACACCGTCAAACTCTGTTATGCAAAAGAACCACACTTTCAGGTTTTTCAGAAGTCGTAGCAAGAAGAAATATTAGAGGAACTAGGTGATAATAAATGAACGTTATTGCCGTAAGAAAATATCCTCTAATTGAAGTGAAGTAGAAAAAGAAAGCAACGTAGAAAAGGCTTTTAACATGGATAACTGTTGAGGACACAAGAATAAGTAAAAACACCATCTAGTATTCTCGTTAAAAAGATATCATAATCTGTCGTCTTGACATTGAGGTAGCTCCTAATGAAACATAAAAATCACACAGCTAAAGTGTGGAAATTAAAAGAAAACAGAGCTTCAGACTGCATCAATATAATAAAATTCAGTCAGCATTTAAGGAAATATCTTTTACCGGTGTTGTGTGTTTTCCGTCAAAATCTACCTGTGTAGTCAATCCTGCAATTCAAGAAAATGATGGCTGTCACAAAAATGATATGGATCATTATGTAGGACAAGCATTTTACCTGCCGATGAAAGTTATCAAAAAATTGTGGGTTTCGTGCAAGAATTCCGATGTAAGTCATTTGCAAATAAAATTTAATCATGCTTGGTTAGATCACACCGTGGTTAATGTATTCCAAGCGACTAGATGATGCTCTCTGTAAGCACTGTGTTTTGGTTCGTTTCTAATCAGACCATTCAGGAAATTATGGAGTCGAAAACATGTCACCACTAACTTTCACAAAACTGCTTCAACTGCTGCAAAGGCTTTTCTTGAAAATATATCTGTGGATGTTCAATTAAAAAAGTTTTCACCAAAAACAAATTGATGAGAACATGTAAATACTGGTAATTATTTCCTGTATAGTATTCTGTGGCACCCATAATATGGCCCTTTGAGAACGTCTTAATGTAATCCTTAACGTATTAAAAAAAAACGTGAAAACATCGACCTAGTTACTGCTGAAATATTAAAAAAGCACAACACCTTACAGTTGGAGTTGGAAATAGAAATTCTACTACCCCAGGTTCGCTAATAGGAAAATACACAGGAGCAATCCTATTATACAGGTATCTCTAAAATGTGTATACAACGGAAGACCACAAATTCCTTGGCTCAAAATAAGTAGATTTCAGTGAAGTTATCTATATCCAAAGTTGCTTCTTAAATTAATGCCAATTATTATGAGGTTTTGTAATTGCAATAACGTAAACAAAGCTTGCAGATATTTAAAAATACCTTTTTTCTAGCTTAACCATTTACGTAATTAAAATCTTATAAGAGACAAAAAAGTTTCAGAACTAAATGGGGTATTCAGAAATTATAATAATGTAATTATTGCCTGACCACTAAAAAAATATGGGGTAATATACACTGAATACATGAGTTTTTCATCATTTCTAAAATGGCATCGGAAACCATAAAAAGATGTTAATTGAATTCACTTCTGAAAAATGGTTTAAATTAATTTACGCGTTTAGAATTATAAAACTAGAAGAATTTATTTTGATAATTTTGAAATTATCTAACGGCGAAACGAAGGAACTTATAGATAACTTAACTTAAATCGACCTATTTTGAGCCAAGGAATCTGTGGTCTTTCGTTGTACACGCATTTCGGAGATAATCTCTGATATCTGTATAATTTCCAATTTGAAACCTGATTAAAGATAATTCAGCAAATTCTAAATAATGGGTTTGTAGCCCGTCCCAAATTAATACGGCTTAAATAATTTATAGCCAGGTTGAAAGTTTTGATTCCCCTTGTAATGAATGCTTTAAGTAATACAGATCCAATTAATTGCTCTCAAATCTTTTTCATTCCCCAATAATTTTTATAACTTTATTATCTTGACCCACAATAACATCCTTTACCTTTATCTTCATTTTGTTAACACTTGATTTTGATTTATTTCATTTAGGTAGAGTAAATACATAAATATCGGCTAGCTACAACGGTGGTAACGGGATAAAGTGCGATTGTCTCTTGGAATAAATAAATAAATGGTAACTCCAAGGACAGTAGAATTTAACAGGACTACTAACATCCATTGTTGTTTTGTAGTTCACGGGTTGGTTGCCCGCACTCTACGTCACACTATTTGCCACGCCCAGTTAACTCTCATTGGGTTCTATGCGTTTGCTGTGTGTGTTTAGAAGTTATATGATAGACATTAAGGTTTACTTTTAAAGTTAATATGAATACGTCTACGATATACGATATAACTTCTAAAAATATCAATACAGGGTGATTTATAACATACGGAGCAGACCAGAGAGGTAGGTACTAGAGGTAAAACTAAAGAGATTTTCTTAATGTTTTGTTAAAAACTTAATAGTTACATAGATATCGCATGTTAATTTTTTAAATAATTTAATGTTCATTTTTGAGAACCGCTGATATTCAGTAAAGAACAATTAACCCTTTCGTTACGGAGTATTTTCAAGATCATATAGCAAGCCCACATATACAAAAACGTATGCGTACGCTCTTAGTAACGAAAGGGTTAAAATACTTATCAACGCCATCGTCATTTTTGAAGGAGCTGTAAAACTAGACAATTTATTATTTCAGTATTTTTGTTATTTTAGATAATACGTAATTTGTTAAAAGAGATGATAGATGTTAATTTATGAAACGTCTAATAATAATATTTTAAATGCAAAATTACAAATCCTTCCACCTTTTGTAAATAAACCATTACTTTAAATGTACGCCAAACAAAGTTTTGGGAAACTTCGAGTTGGTGAGAAATTTGACAAGTACTAGTACTTGCATCTGCATCAACAATTTCTAGAACGTCTTCTTCTACATTAACTCCATATCTGTTTGGTTTACCGCCACCAAGACATTTCTTAGGTTGTCTCTCTTTCCCGCTGGACTAACCGAAGAAAGGTGTTTTCTGAAGGCATCTGTCGATTTGGAAATCGTTTCAAATACAGATCTCTTGCATGTGCAGCGTTTTCTCCAGCAGCTCCATAAACAATAAGCACATCTATGTATTCCTTGTTACTGTAGAGTGCCATTATACTTTTTGATTTGTAATAGTTCTAATTTTGCCGTTAAATTACATTGTTTATAAACTGTTAAATGACATGTCCTCTGCTAAGTAACCAAGTCAACTGAATTGTTACAGTACAGGAGTTAGTTACAATATTTTTCCGTTGACTGTCCTTTCAACAAAATAGAGAAAATCCATCCTTGAAAAATCTCCCAATTCTATCACTGGCAAAATAAAAACCTCACTCTTGATGTGTCAAAAGTCAAAACTTAATATTGTAGTCTTGCCGAATAGATATAGTGGTCGGTTGGGTCGGTATTACCGATTTGATTGGAGAAAAATTGACTACTATATTAGTTCGGTCGGACTTTCTTAAAATCGTTTATTAATAGAAAATCATTTATTAATAGGTGTCATTAATGAATGATTTTGTATACATTTATAAATCATATAAATACACAGTCGACGGAAAATTAAATTCTAAAACGATTTTCTCAATAAAAAATATATAAAAATTGTTTTGAGCTTATGTTCTTAATTATTGATCAAATCAAACATTTTTATTAACAATATTTGTTTAGAATTGCTTCAGCAACAGTGTTTGTTAACAAAATTTTTTGCTAACTTGAAATTTTAATTTCCCTCTGAATAGTATGCTATCAAAATTAATTATCTCAATAATTATTGTTTTTATCAAAAAATGTTTTAAATAAAATTCGTTTCAATTTCGATTTTGAATCAATTATCTTAATACATTTTTTTTACATCTCTATTAATTAAGCATCTAAGTGTAATTATGTATAAAAACGGAAACATTATTATTTTGAGGTTATCTCCTTAATTATTGATTAAATCCAAAAATTTTCTTAACAATATTTGTTAAGAATTGCTTCAGGAACAGTGTTTGTAAAAACAATTTTTTCTATCTTGAAATTTTAATTTCCCTCTGAATAGTATGCTATCAAAATTAATTATCTCGATAATTATTGTTTCTATCAAAAAATGTTTTAAATAAAATTTGTTTCAACTTCGATTTTGAATCAATTATCTTAATAAAAAATTTTTACATCTCTATTAATTAAGCATCTAAGTATAATTATGTATAAAAACGGAAAAATTATTATTTTGAGGTTATCTCCTTAATTATTGATTAAATCAAAAAAAATTGTTGACAAAGTTTGTTTAGAATTGTTTCAGGAACAATTTTTGTTAACACAATTTTTTTCTAACTTGAAATTTTAATTTCCCACTGAACAGTATGCTACAAAAATTAATATTTTTGAGGTTATATCCTTATTGTTGATTTAATCAAAAAATGTTGTTAACAAAATTTGTTTAGAATTACTTCAGGAACAGTGTTTGTTAATACAATTTTTTGCTAACTTGAAATTTTAATTTCCCTCTGAATAGTATGCTATCAAAATTAATTATCTCAATAATTATTGTTTTTATCAAAAAATGTTTTAAATAAAATTTGTTTCAACTTCGATTTTGAATCAATTATCTTAATAAAAATTTTTACATCTCTATTAATTAAGCATCTAAGTATAATTATACTAATGTAATACCGTATATTGTAAGAAATGCAACTAATTCAACTTTAACCTTCTATATCTTTGTGATTATTAAGTTGTGGTCAAAACATTATTAAGAAAATATCTTTAATTTGGACCCTAGTAGCTACCCTTTTAGTCTGCTCCATATGTTATAAATCACCCTGTATAAATAACAATATATTATATCTTATATATGAAAAACAGCTGACTAAGCGTGGCAAATGGTGTGATTGTGTTTGGGTAACTCAATATTACTTTCTTTTAAACAAGGATAACATATGTTACCAATACATTAGTCGATCGTTTCTGCAGCCATTCATCCCATCTTACTTCGCCTAATCCTCCAACGTAAACAACAGAATCTATTGCAAGTTTTGCCTGATTCTGAACACATAAACATTAAGGTAAAAGTCCGAGATGGACAGTCTGCGACTACTGACTGGTTTATATTAATCTGTAAGGGTGTATCCATACACTGTGTTTTATATAATCGCGTAATGTAATGTAACCTGCCCTATGTCCATTCTTGCGCCCGGCAGAATTGTATCCTTCGAACGCCGCGTGTTGCTGCCGCGTAATGTGTGGGCACACAATAAGAAATTAATTCCAAGCACATTTTTTGGGGCTAAAAGTTGTCTTGTTTGAGGACAAATAAGAAAGTTGACTTAGCTCCATTATAAAATTCTTGTATGGTCCTTGATGACTTTTGCTAAATTTTGTTGCATCTATTATTCTAATATTTTTTTTCAAAGTACTAACATAATAACAGTTTAAAGTGAGATTAACTTAAATGAACCCATGAGCGTCAACTTTCATGACAGGGTTTTGGACATTACCTTTGTAAACTTTATTCAAAACAGATTTTAAATTTTCATATCCCAAAAATTGCTTTCATTGAATCGCCTCTTGCTAATTAATGAGTCTCAATTATTTTTTTCCAATAATTCGTATTTTTTTCATAGCTATAATTTTTGACATATTCAGAATTTTTTGTAGATCAATTATTAACAAGTAAATGAATATTTTCTTCATACTGGGTGTAATTTTGAAATCTATGAAATATAGATAACAAAATATAATAGTTAGCATGGATTAAATGATTAATATCTTGACATTCAGTATACAGTTTCACTATAAAATAAAAGAAGAATTTAAGAAAATTTATAAAACAACCTTGATTAATTCAATTTCTTCTCTTCTAACATTTTCCCATTATAGTCGAGAAAATGATATTTTAATACCGATTTTACAAAAAAAAATATATTAATAATAATTATTGCAAGTATTAAGATACCTCCATTTCCTGGTACAGCGACGAAAAATTTAACTGGACCACGATGACCATGAAAACTTAACTGAGCGTGTGCCATACTACAATAAGGAATACAATTTCCGGGTGAAGGAGTAACGCGCATCCCAACTCCCGGCACAGACATGGCGCGATGTACAACTCCCCCGGTGTACATTCCACAATCGCTAAGAGGCACGGAAATTATAACGCCATTATCCGTTCCTATCCACAGCCGGCTTGATGATATTAATAATGCTGTTATTCTTACGAAGGAAAATCCTAATTTTCCAGTTCCTATAAATTATTTTTAAACAATTTAAATTTGAAACTTAAAAATCCAAAATATTTCACTAAGTATCTCACCTAACATTTTACTAACGTAAGGTTCTATATCAACATCTTGTAAATGTTGATAGGTGTAGGCGTGATAAAGTCTTAAAGTTGAATCAAGACGGATTGAGACCCAAACACCTTCACCAAACCAAGCTAAAAGTTTCACCTGGAAATTAAAAATAATTTAGCTAAAGTAAAAAGATATTTAAAATAATTTAAATATTTACTGGACTTTCTCTTCTTGGATGAGCTTCTAAACTGTGAACAACTTTTAGCTCCATCGGATCTAAAACATGAATTAAATTGTTGTAACCACACCAAACTTTATCTCCAACAGCTGCAAGACATCTAACAGAAATTTGTGGTAAACCTAATTGTACCACGTGGTATTTTGATAAATCCCATTCTCCGTCTGAGTTTCTTCGAAATATCGCCACAGTTCCATTGGCTAAAGCAACTACTACTCTACCATTAATATGTCTAAAAATAAATTTGTTATAAATTAAGAAGAAAAAGAATTGTTGTAATATTTACACAATATCAAGAACGGCATCGCTAAGTTTAACAGAATGTAAGCACTGATTCCAATTTGCCACTGATGAATGTATATTAAGCATCCCATTTTGTGCCCCTAACCACATAGTAGCCAAAACGCTACACATTAATGGTCGTTGTTTTTTATCATTTTCGTCACTATCGATGTTATTAACCTCCTCTTTTACTTCTGAACAATTATGTGGTTCTGTTGGCGATTTCGGTTCTTCAACTTCATCTTCTATTTTAACTTTTTTCTTATTTACAACCGTTTCATTGTATTCGACAAAAGTAACCTTCCCCAATTCAAAAGTATTTTCATCTGTACCAGTTTCAGTGTTATTTTCTAATTCATTACTTTTTGTATCGTTTTCTTTTTGAACCGAATTATTTTCTACTTCTCCCGTTATTTTTGCTGAGGCTACTGTCTCTTTGGCGTTGTCGTTGTTGTCGTAATCGCTGGGACTAGCTCCTGGAACGCTGGCGACACATAATAAATAATTAGTGGAAGCCCCAAAACTGTTTAAAATTTCAGCAGGGTTATTTGCATCAACAACGGTAACCATACTAGCGTTATAAGTTGATGTGCAAATCCAAACTAGGGATGATAATTTAGTTTCAAGAAGGGCCCCTTCTTTTATACAGTCAATTTCGTTTTCTAAAATTTCAATATCCGAACTTTGGCGTTTTTTCTCAATAACTGGTTCGTCGTAATAAAAAACGCTTCCGCCAACCATTAAACCACCGTCTTTGGTATAACCGCCCATTAAATTAACTCCGGCTGCGCACCAAATTAACGATTTTAATTCTGGTACTGTTTCGGCTAAAGGTCTACAATAAACCGGAACTGGAACAGGTACGCTACTATTACTCGCTTGAGATGTCGCTTTGTATTCGGGAATTGCCTTTCCTGGTAAACTCCATCCATAAGCTTGTAATCTTCCATCATCTTTTTTAACGTGGGCTCTTACATGCCTGTATTGTTCCCGCCTTTCCACTGCTTTCTTCGACGCTAACCGCTCCGAGTTGTGACCTAAAAAAAGAAAGCGTTATGCCGAGATCATTTCAAACCGTCTACTTACTAAGGTGATTTAAAAAAATATACCATCTACTGTCAAGTTTTTTTTTCTTATTTACACATTGCACATGCACTACCAACAATAACCAGAGGATCACAAAGCTGATTTCTTCGAGCAAAAAGCGTGGTAAAAAGATTAAAATTAATAAAAAAGAAAGTAATTAAAGATAAAGTAATTAAGCGGAAAAGAAAAAATAAAACAATTTTTTAAATAAATTAATCGGTACATATATTTTCTTTGGGTGATCAACATTTTGTAAAATTTTAAATATACTTAACAGGGTAACAACGCAAACACAAAAAGGTCACTAGTTTAAAACGACTAGAAGCGTTTAACAACAAACATGCCCCTGTTTGGCTTAATTAAATAATATAAACATTCCGTCTCAAAACAAAATAAATCAACAAATTAATTCTGATAAGCAAAAAAACTAGATTTTTAATACAGAATGCCTGAATTTTATTATAAATATTACTATGTATTTATTATTATTGTAAAAATAATTCGAAAAAAAACATCGTTTTTTAAATAGTCCTAGAATGGATTCATTGAAACGAGTTTAAAAAAACCAACTGAAATCACTGTTTCTGTTACCTGTTTCATAATCAAAAATTTATAGTGTCCCTTTAAAATTGATTATGAAACTAAGAGGATATTCGTTATAAAATATACGAAATGGAAATTCTTGGACTGTTTTAAGAAACGGCTCATTTTCACCCCTAATATTGTCACGTTATAGGAGCGAAAATTTTGTTTTAATATCGATTTTTGAAAATAACTATTTATTGGACAATCTGCCTACAGGATGTTTCAAAAACGGAGGGGCAAACACATTAAAAAACTGATTGTAAAGCGAGATGAAAGTCTTAAACTCGAACTTTCCATATTTTGTAGTATTTCGAGATTCTATCGATTTTGAAAACGGTTTATAAAGAACACTGTACTGGATCTTTAAGACAGAATATGGACGATATTTTTGTGAAATTTTAATGACTCAGAACTCCATCACATGAAATATATACGATATCCTAACATAAAAGGGTAAAAAAACAATATTTACCACATATGAGAATCTATTACATTAGGAGATGTGACACACCATCTAGAAAAAGGCTACCAATATCTGAAAAGAAATTTGAGAACTAATCTAAGCACTACAAATGGATGCCTTAAAATTGAAATGAAAAAGATTTTTTTTTAAATCAACAGAGAATAGACATGTTTAAAGTTAATTTCATTTTGGACCCAATTGACATTTCATGATAGATTAAAATCAAATCCTTTTTTCAGCGAAAACTCAACGACGATCAACTTCATATAAACCTTAAATCATATCGTCATAAGAATGCAGTCAAAGATGAAATATCGAAATCTTCAAAGTACATACCGCTTTACAGATTAAAAATAAAACAACATTATCGCCCCATGAAGCACTTTCGATACTGAACGAAATACTTTCGAGAACCAGTAGAGAACATAAATACAATGTGTACCATGATATACATTACTGAAAACTTGTGTTGAAGTAAAGTTATAAACCTTGCTTAATTTTAGATAGAGCGATTTTTGGGGAATGCCTTCCAGATATGAGTGGTACTAGGGAAATTAAATACCCAGGGTGGACCAAAACTGACAATAAGTACTTTTTTATCCTTGAGAAGACATATCAAAAGACGGAAGAATAAGACATAATCAACGGTATATGGTTGCAGAAGGCAAGGGGAAATCACTGCATTAAAGATTCATTTTGAATATCCCAAGAATGCAAAAATGGTAAGTCGAAGACAAACTTTGGCCTCTAGTCAGTAGCAATTCTTAGATGGATAGGGATTGCTAAAAATCTCCATGATGAAAGATAATCACCAACATACTAGACATTGAAAGAGGTAACGTGAGGTACTTGTTTAAAGCAGAAAAACTTATAATCCTGAAACACATAAATATTATTCAAATCAATGTTCTCACAGCATGAAATAAATCTCTTTTACAAGGATATCAAAAACTTATTAAAAATGACTAGTAAACATGAAGTTAACATAATAATGGGTGACTTTAACGCAAAAATAAGGAAAGGAAATGTTGAAAATATTGTGGGAGATTCTGGTCTTGTGGAACGAGAGGGTCGATATGTTGATAAAGTTTTGAAATGAAACTTCCAGAAAGGCGAATGAATATATGGAAAGGACACCAGGTGATAATAAAGAAAACGTAATAAATTAAATAGACTGTATATTGATAGATTAACAGTATAGAAGCTGAATTAAAGGTATGTGAAAGGCATTGAAACTCTTGAGTGAAGATAATACATATGTCGAGATGCCTAAACCATTCCTCAGGAAGTTTGCCATGTAATTGGACCCGATCTGTGCTTATTGCAATACCTGAATAAGTGGAGCAAACATGTGTTCACAATATCGACTGATTAGCTTGATGAGCCTATGTTCTGAAGATGGTCTTAAGAATCATACACCAACGAATATATACATAGTGTGATCAATATATGGGGGAAAAATAATTTGGTTTCCATCTGGGTCATGGAACTAGTGCCTATTTGGACTAAATATGCTGCTTCAAGAATGTAGAAATCAGTCACAGGATATTCAAAGCTTGAACTATATATAAAATCTTTTAATCGAGTAAAGCTGATAAATGTGCTTTATAAACGGGGAGTAGACCAATGAGACATCATTATGATCAAAAATTTGTACTAGGAGCAAACAGTTTTAGCAAAAATTTCTACTAGGATAAAAGATAAATTGATAAACAATAGCATACCCTGTCCTCTTAACAAATTCTTAAATAATAAAAATTCTTTACAACCTGTCCTCAGAATAGATATTCCAAAACGGAACAAAAAGTTGTTGCTTTTGGCCTTAGAATAAACAAAAACAATGGTTTTTACAAAAAAATGCAAATGCGAGCACCAATATAATTCTATAACAAACGAATAAGATTCAAATATCTGGGGGATGCTCGATAACAAGGTATTTGAATCAGGAAGTAGAAGTACGATGTCAAGTAGATAATGTAACACGCACATTCCTCAGAATTAGTAAGATAATAATATATGGGACGTATTTATTAGAAAGAATAAGCTTTTGACGTTGCCGAGTACCTTACCACATAAAATATCAGATGGGTCGAAAACACTTAAAAAGAAAGTTGTTGTGGAAAAAATAAAAAACCATATATGGCACTAGATTCTATGATGGTGGGAAAAACGCTGGAGGGGAAATGTAACTGCCCAATGAAATGTTTTGTTAAAATTAAATATATGCTTAATAATTTTTAATCAACGAACTGTCTACAAAGTAGTTCTGTGATAATATTCCAAATGGTATCTCTATCATGTAATGAAAAAGAAACTTGTAAAAAGAAGGAAGCGCCGTATAGGTTAACTTTTATGAATCTTTTTATAATATTACAGATTCAGCATAATGACACGGATAATATTATTCCTAAAAGAAATAATAACTTTGTCCCAACAAGCGTTTTTAATAAGATTTTGAGATTGTGATATTTGTGATGAATTCACAAGTCGGTAAACATTTTTCGACTCACAATGATTTGAACGAGATGGTGTTCGTTTACTATTCATCTCAGCGAATCACGTGGTTTCAACAAATGTATTCACCCATTTTTGACTATAGGAATTAATTTTTAATGTGTTTAATTTCAATTCTTATGCTAAGGGTCACTCTTGCTTCACTTCTCTGCTAAAATTCAAATTTGAAGCACTAAAAATATCTCGAAAAATATATAATAAGTTATATGTACGTTTTCCTAACATTCCTTTTAAATGTTCTGATTAGTCTTTGATTTCAATATAATTAAAAATGAGTAATCTTAAAAAAAAATTGTCGCAACATTTTTGAAACATCCTGTACAAACTTTTACTTAAATAATAAAATGAGATTTAATGAGAAAAAAGGGTGTTTGAAGATCGTTATTTGTTCGAGGTCTCTATCACATTTTATTAATTGATAAATTAATCAATTAAAAAAAATCATTTGCATTTTTGTACTGATCGCAAATCTTAAACATGCGATACTTAATAAATAACGAAAAATAACGTAAATTACCGAAAATAGCAAAATAATTTCATCTTTATGTACATGTAAATAAATTTTTAATTCGTATTTAAGGTTTCTTCACTTTTTGTTTATACGCACAATCAATTTTATGGCATAAATCATAACATCTTTACAATCACGGTCAATATTAAGAATTTTCCACTGAAAAATATAAAACAAAAAATGTGAAATTAATACAGAGAAAATCCTTGTAAAACTATTTACATTGAAACAACCAAAATCAACACGTTAACCTCTAATAAGTTTTTATCACATTTTTTTGTGATGTTATTTTAAACCTTAATGAATCTTTAATGACTAGTTTTAAATGTTAATAAGATGGCACATTGATACGTTAATATAGATGAACAAAGAAATAGAAAAACACAACACTCGGTATTAATAATAATGATTAATTTGTGCACCAGAAAAGATGAAGAGGGGGAAAATCTTATTATATATTTAAGAAATAACAGATAACCGTATATAAAAGAAATAAAGTCCTATGTATAACAGCTAAATATGTACGAGTATCACAGATGCATGACAGTAGACAGTATAGAAAATAAATGATTATAATTCCGTACCCAGTTCCGTCTCTAAAAAATTCTGGCCCGATCTGGGTAATGCCCTCACGCCCGGGGCCATCTGATTTGTGTACGCATGGTACTTGAGGTGGGGCGAGGACAGTGGCCTTTGCATCCTGTCCGATGAAAAGAGACTGCTAAAAAACTTCCAAATACCCTGTTTACTCTTCCTATCAATGCTACTATCGGTTCTTGAAGCCCTTATCATTTCCGTCCAACGAACCGCTTCTTGTAGTTCCATAAATCTTTCCTATTAAATAATTAAACATTGTTATCAAAAATGAATCAAATTCACATCGAAATTTATTTACTTTATATTGATTCCTCTCCATAAGCACTCTGGCCATTTCAACTCGCGTGAAACGTTTTCGTTGCGCCATTGGAACATCAGCTTCTTCGTCCGCTTCCGCTTTGGTTTCAATAACTCCTTTCGCCTTACGTAATTCCTCTTCGAGCTCCATAACACGTTCGCGTTGTTTCTCCCGCGAATGATTCAAACTGATTATCTCCTCGCGAAGCATTTCAATTTCTCCAGTTAATTCGTCTACTTTGACAATGAGATCGTCTTTTACTACGTTCAACGCGTTCCTAGATTAATTAAAAAAATAATTATTTGAATTTTTTGTTCTGTTTTAAACTTACTTTGTAGCTAAAAGTTCGTTGTTCTCCATAATTAAGTTTTCCACTTCTTTACCCATTCCTGCAAAATTAATTGTAAGTTAAAATAAAAACGGTGATAATAAATTAAAATACGTTAAGTTTCATGCTTAAGATCTTTTTTTAATAAATTGAAATGAATTAAACAAAATAGAATGGTAGAATTAGTAACGAAAATGAAGCGAGTACTCACCGTAGAAATTGTCGCTAACTTGAAAAGTGAAGTCCCATGAAAGCAGCGTACAAAAAAAAATAAAACGAGAACACAAATAGATGATTAGTAATAAAATCGACTAAAAAATACTTGTTTTGTTGTTAGGTTTTCATGCAATGTTTTTGTTAATATCATATTTTTTGAACCATAAGATTTTTTATTAATTAAATTATGTAACATGAGGAGAAAATAAAAAAAGGGGACAAAGAAAGAAAAGACTTACGAGGATTAAGTTAGTTTTAAGATCACCTTCTATGAACTCATACACAGTGATTGGGAGAAGTCTGTTGAAAAGGATAATGATGGGAATGAGGATGAAAGTCTAAAAACGCATAATCAAATAATGACCAAAAATCTGTTATAAATTAAGACTACTTTCTGTGCAAAAGCAAGAAAAAAATGTAGAAACATGTTGCGTTTTAAGGGGGAATGTCTTTTTTTTTTTTAAATCGATTTTTTTATAGCAAAATCTTGTACTTTAGGGTCTGGACAATACCTCTATGATGTTTTAATTTACAATTATTTAAATTGTAAAAGTTATAAACCTTTAACAAATACGGTGTAGGTTGTTATAGTCTTCTACATTGCGATCGGTTTTATAACTCCGTCCCTTTTCTACTGTAGTAGTAAAACGGACAAAAACTGGATTCTTCACTTAAGGCCGCATTAAGGAATACACCAAATTGTAGAGAAATAATAGGTTTAAAATAATTTTAGTGTAAACAAATTTAAATTCGACCATGTTGTTTGAAATAAATTGTGGACGCAACTATCACAATTCAAGGTTCAGTTTGATTACTAAAGGCTGCTCTAAGAACAAAATTGAACTTGTCTGCATTATTTCGACGTGTTTGCGAAGACAAGAATGGATAGAAAACATTCAAAAGAAAGTTCTAAACACGCGGATACACAAAAAAAGAAAATTTGTCCGGAATAAATATACGCAGGAGACAGAAACTACGTTTGCAAGTACGTCAGCTGCGAAATTAGCGGTAACTAGAGACGAAGAAATTATACTGAACCTAACTCATGGTTAACGAATTATTGGAATTTTATCTGTGTTTACCTCAGTTTCGGAATTAGTAATATGTAAAATGCAATCAATTGTGGTGAATCCAGTGTTCGTGGACTAGGATTTAAAATATCGATGGAATGTCAATGTGGTGTTCAATATACAGGGTGTATCTGAATGACTGCAACAAACTTCAAGGGATGATTCTTCAGTGAATTTTAAGGGTACTTTGATATATGAACCATGGGCGACTTCGGCCCCCCTAAGGAGCTACACCCCTCCAAAAATGGCGGAAAATTTTGGTTTAATTCCTTTTTCTCAAAAACCATACATGCTAGGAAAATGAAATTTGGAGAATATGTTTAACTCATTATAGGGCACATTTTGACCCTATTTGTACTTTCAACCTACCCTTCTAAACTACTAAACGTAACCACCCCCTTTACATTTTTGCTAAAATTTTTTTTATGCACATGATAAACACATTGGAAAAATTTCAGTTAGATAGATAAAACTGTTCTAAAACTTTTTTGTCTCTCTAAAATTTTTCCAAAAACGACTAATTTTTGAGAAAAAAAATAATAAAGCAAACACTGCCCGTTAAACAATGAGGTTGTCGATCAAAAGTTGCAATGAATTTTTAAGGAAAAAATCTTGGTAGGCTTTGCAATGTTTGTCAGAAATATTTTTGACGTTTAAATGTCAGTTTTTCTTACTATTATTATTGTTTTTCAAATTAATTTTTGAATAAAGTTCTATCGCATTTACGCTCGTTCATTCGACGTTTCAAAATTTTAAATAAAACAATATTAAAGTAAGAAAACCAACTGATATTTAAACGTCAAAAATATTTCTGACAAAGATTGCAAAGCCTACTAAGATTTTTTCAATAAAAATTCATTCCAACTTTCGATTAACAACCATACAGCTTAACAGTTAGTGTTTGCTTAATTATTTTTTTTCTCAGAAATTATTAAATTTTCGAAGAACATCAGAGGAGCAAACAAGTTTTAGAATATTTTCATCTATCTAAATCAAATTTTTCCAATGTATTTATCATTTTCATACAAAAAATCTAGGCATAAATTGAAAGGGGGTGGTTAGGTTTAGTAGTTTAGAAAGGTAGGTTGAAAGTACACATAGGGTCAAAACGTGCCCTATTATGAGTTAAACATATTCCCCAAATTTCATTTTCCTAGCGTTTATGGTTTTTGAGAAAAAAAAATAAACCAAAATTTTCCGCCATTTTTGGAGGGGTGTAGCTCCTTAGGGGAGCCGAAGTCACCCATTGTTCATATATCAAAGTACCCTTAAAATTCACTAAAGAATCACCTCTTGAAGTTTGTTGCAGTCATTCAGATACACCCTGTATATAGAAGAGAACACCATTTGATTTTTGTGTTTTAGAACATCTCAAGGGTAGATATCGTGTCAACCAACGATTTAGACACTTCGCGCGACAACGCTGTTGAAGGACAAAGCAGGCGTNGAGAGGGAACACTTGAACACAAGTCACCACTAAAATTCACGATCATATCAGCACCGACAAGAGAAGGTCTACACATCAAGCGCCATTTTTGGTATATTTTTGTTAGTGTTCGCTTAATAAATTTTTTCCTCAGAAATTATTAAATTTACGAAGAAGATCAGAGGGGCAAACAAGTTTTAGAATATTTTTATCTATCTAAATCAAATTTTTCCAATGTATTTATCATTTTCATACAAAAAATCTAGGCATAAATTGAAAGGCCACCCCCTTTCAATTTATGCCTAGTTAGGTTTAGTAGTTTAGAAAGGTAGGTTGAAAGTACACATAGGGTCAAAACGTGCCCTATTATGAGTTAAACATATTCCCAAAATTTCATTTTCCCAGCGTGTATGGTTTTTGAGAGAAAAAAATTAAACCAAACATTTCCGGCATTTTTAGAGGGGTGTAGCTCCTTAGGGGAGCCGAAGTCGCCCATGGTTCATATATCAAAGTACCCTTAAAATTCACTAAAGAATCACTCTTGAAGTTTGTTGCAGTCATTCAGATACACCCTGTATATAGAAGAGAACACCATTTGATTTTTGTGTTTCAGAACATCTCAAGGGTAGATATCGTGTCAACCAACGATTTAGACACTTCGCGCGACAACGCTGTTGAAGGACAAAGCAGGCGTTATTTTTATAAACAAATGTGTTTTTAAATAAATAAATATACAGGGTGCCCATTATGTATGGAATATAGTATATATCTTGGTAGGTATCAACTTTACAAAAAAACATTTTATACAAAAGTTGTTTAATATTTTATTTGCCATAATAAGACAGCATTCAATTGTTTTTATTTCAGAAAACAAATGAGCAACGAATAACACTTGAAGTTTTTTAAATGGCAATGTACCCTTTCGTTAGGCTCATTTGATAGAGATTTCTTTTCTCTTTACGATGTCGTAAAATTTTAGTACCCTTATATCAGAAAATTTTTGAAAAAAATGTAAAAATTGTTTATTAAGAAAATTTAACTAATAACATTAATCTAGATATCCGAGATCGTCAAGTACCTAGAATTATTGGAGATGTACGCTAATTTTTCGTTTATTTGTTCGTAATTCTGTATGTAAATTTAATTTCCGGTAATAATTCGAGGTACTTGACGATCTCGGATATCTAGATTAATGTTATTGATTAATTTTTATTAATAAACAATTTTTAAATTTTTTTCAAGAATTTTCTGATGTTTTACGACATCGTAAAGAGAAAAGTAATCTCTATGAAATGAGCCTAACGAAAGAATACATTGCCATTTAAAAAAATGTAAGTATTATTCGTTACTCAGTTGTTTTCTGAATTAAAAACAATTGAATGCAGTCTTATTATGGCAAATAAAATATTAAACAACTTTTGTATCAAATGTTTTTTTATAAAATTGATACCTACCAAAATATATGCTATATTGGAACATAATGGGCACCCTGTATGTTGTAATAAGTTTACAACAAGGCAAAAGATTAAATTTGAAGAGCACATAGTTTGGCAGCCAAAAATTCCGAAAGATATCACTTTATTTAATAGAAAAAAAAAGATTCCCCCCTTAATATAAGAAAAGCAAAACAACTCCGCCTGGGGTAAGTGCTGGGTGGATTGATTAGCTCAGTAAGTGCCTTTGCCAGTCCCAAGCATAGGTAAAGGAGGGTTGCGCGCCAAATGTAAATTTTACTTAGTGTATAATCTAGAACGCATCTTAAAAGTAATGACAAACAATGACAGTTAATAATTTAAAATCTAACTTCCAATAAACCAAATAAAGTGGTTATAAATTAAAAAGAATAAGTTGGTCCAAAAAATATGATTAACAAAAAAATAGTAACAGTAAATGATTATCACATTCTATAGCATTAATTAGGAAAAACATACCTGATGAGGCATATTCTCCTGGGTGAACCCAACCACCTAAAAAATTACACAAATAATATTAAAAAATCCGATTTCATAAACATTTATATTTTACCTGTTATATCGGCTCCATCATCCATATCAGCAAGAGCATCTGCATCCTAAAACAAAAAATTATTCCCAAAAAAACATTTAAAACCAAATAAAAAAATTACTTGAAAACTGAGCTCTTGATACAAAGTGTTCCCGCTTCTCTCCTCTTTATGAGTATGCACCCTTCCTGTATGACTTTGTGATTTCGCCTGTGGACTAATAGGTGAAGTAATAACACTTTTATTCTCCAGAGTAATTGTATCAGTTTCTTGGGCTTTCTCAACCGTATGTATCCCATCCTTAACATTATCTAATTCACTATGTAAACTAAAAAATTTTCTTATTAATCATCCCATAATTTTTTGACATCTTTATATATTATACAAACCTAGGAGATGAGTGACTACTGCTAATAGGCGACGTTGGCACACTGTCGACTCCCTCCGCAACTTCCAAAGACGCAAATCCAAACGAAACGGGTCCCGAACTGCGGCAAATATTGATTCTATTCGAGTTTAACCTGTTCGATTCGGTTCGTTCGTTGGCCAATTGAGCACCAGACAACAATAATTTCGTTCTTTCCATATAATCCATGTGCGTTTTGAACAACTCCGTGTATCTTTCGTGGAGCTTGGCATATTCTTTTTTCAACTCGCCCTCTCGTTCCTCCAGCCTGCCGGAGTGCTCCAACGAATTTTTATGCTTAATTTCTAACATCCTCACAATGCTTTCTAACGCCTCTAATCGTGCAGCCAATTCTTTTCGTTCGGCTATACATAAAAATTGTATTTAAATAACAAAGTGAAAAGCAATTTATTCTAATTAAAGTAAAATTCTTGTTATTCAAACAACTAGTACAAGATAATCATTGTGAAACCTTTATTGCTAAGTATTACAACATTTTAATTGTTTAGAGTTTCTCTTCTTGTACAAATTAACAATAAATTTATTACATTAAGATAATTTTATATTATTATTTATGGAAAGTTACTTTATTTTAGTATAAATACACAATTTTTAATTAATTAATGATCTTAGATAAACTTTGGAATTTTAATGATTAGTTTAAATATAATCAAAATTGTTTATTATTTATTTAATGTATTAAGTTAGATAATAAATTACCTTCTGCTGAATCCTCATATTCTAATAATTTTTGTTCAGATGTTTTTCGAGCACTTTTTTCTCTTTCGTATTGAGTAACAAGTTGCTCATTATCCTCCCTTAATAGTTCTAATTCAACATCGTGCTCCTGATTGATTTGATAGGAAGCATCCAAACATTCCAAAACATTCACAACTAGAGGCATAAGCGTTTTAACCACGTCTTCGTCGTACCGAGAGATCATCCTTTCAAATTCCTGGTAGATGCTACCAGCAAGGGATTGTACCTTCTCAGACATGACCATGTGGGAATCTTCGTGGGTTACGTAGACGGTTTCGTGGCCGGACCCGTTCCCCGAGTCGTCAAAATCCATTGTATATGCGCCAAAAATCTACAACCTAATTTCCTCCCAAAAACCCACGACACACAAAAACTTATTTTACGTTAACACGGGAAGTCATCTTACAGGGCTCGTTGTTTCGTTTGAGATAACGTTTCTTTGTTGATACGTTTGATGGCGATAAATCACATAGTTTATCGTACGGGTAGATGTACACGCACTAACTGCGTCAAATCTGTCAAAACTGACAATAGTTGTCAGCTGAGCTCACCGCGGAACGGGATGCCATGTTGTCTGAAGTCCGAACGATTGTAATTTGTTTTTTTGCGCAGACGTTTTGGCGCAGTTGCTCCACAATTTAAACTATTTTCAGATTTTGAATGTAAAATATTTCGGTATTTTTAGATGTTTTCTTTGCGACATTTTGTTTGTAACTGTTGGTGTAATTTATTTTTGTCACTTGCGTTGTATTCAACTAAAGTTAAAGTTTAAAATAGCTCAAAAACTGATTATCATTACGACGCGCATGCGCAATAAGGATTTGTCCGTCCAAATAGGAGGTTTTACAATTAATCTTTAGTACAGTTAATAAAAAAAGTAATGCTACGAATAATATTCCATTTAGTATGTCCTAATTTTTAAATTGTTTTTTTTTCAGATTCTTATGAAATATTGGATAATCAACAAGCTACGAATCGCATTACAACCTTATTCCGCCGTTAATGTAAGTACATGTGTCTGTCCTCAGCAACATCTCTATGTTTATAACGAAATTTAAGTTATTGCAAGTAAAAAGACAGCTTGATGCATGATCCCATACAATTTTATGAATTTATTTGATAACTTAGACCAATTCAAAACTGATAGCCAGGAATCCAACAAAACTAATTAATATTTTGTTAGAAATGTAAGATGTAATCGGCTTTCCAGAGCAGAATCTAAATCCATTTCGACTCTTCCAGTGTTTCCTTCATCATCATCAGCAGCACTCAGCCCTCAGTATCCACTGCTAAACATAGGCAGTGGATACTGAGGCTATTCCCTCCTATCCTGAGCACCCTCGATCCACTTATTAGCAAATCTCTTGATGTCAACCGTCCATCGATTTGGTGGCCTCCGTTCAACCCAGTTCCATTTGAGTCTGGCGATGCGAGAAATTACGTCTGTAATGCCTGTTCTTCACCGCAAGTCCTCATTGCCAACGTGATCTCTTAAGGTATGTCCACACCAAAGAAAAACAGAAGAACATTTTGTTCCCAGTGTTGTTAAATACCCGGGTATTTATTTTCAAGGGTAAATTTCCTAAAAAACCCCGGGGTATTTACCCAAGATGGGTATTTAGAGGTATTTATAAAATTTAATTAAAATTGAGTTAGTGGCAGTCATTCAAACTCATTTATAACATCTGCAAGAATGCTACAATGATAGTAAAATTGCATGAAAGTACTGAAGAGAGTAGCAGTATTAAAGTACTGATTATGAGTAAAACAAGGCGATACAATGTTGAACCTAAATTGTTCATCACAGTCCTGGAGAGTGCATTTAAACAATTGGATTGGTCCCAAAAAGGCATAAACATTGGTGGTAAATGCCTAAGTAATTTGCGCTACGCGGACGATAGAGTTCTTATTTCGGATAGCGTTGGAGAGATGAAACTAATGCTGAACGACTTAAAGGAGGTGTGCGCAAGAGTCTGGCTAAATATCAACGTGGAGAAATCAAAATTTATGATAAATCTTGTTGCCAACTCTAACATCAACATTGGTGATAATGAGATTGAGAGGGTTGACAGCTATGTATAACTTGGCCACGAGGTTCGTGTATCGAGAGATAATTAAACAAGCGAACTAAACAGAATGATCACACTCGCATGGTCAGCCAACGGGAAATTTAAAGACATCTTCAAGAGCTATATACCTATATACAAGGTGTCGTTTTGTTGTAAGCGATATTTTTTGAATAACTTGAAACCAACTCAATATTTTGTTTGAATTCTATCATTTTATTAAAATTTGGACTTGTACAATTTGTTAAGCCACTTTTTGAAAATGATGACTAGTAGGTGGCTTACCCCAGCTGTCACCACAATCGGCTCTTTTTTCGACGTTTTTCATCACTTTTGCGAGTGTTTCGGGCGTTATTTCGCCGATTTTTTGGTGTATGTTGGCCTTAAGTTGCTCGAGAGTGTCTGGCTTGTTGACATAAACCTGGCTCTTAAGGTATCCTCACAGGAAAAGCCAGGAGGCGTTAAATCAGGCGAACGCACCAGCCATAATCGCCACTTTTCGATATCAATCAATAGAGCCATCAATAGTTCCAATTAATAGAGCAGTATGGCATGTTACACCATCTTTCTGGAACGCTGTGGGTGGGAACCTTAACTGTGGGCTTCGATGTTGCCAAAGATTACCGCGATATTTTGCTCTGTACACGCGTTGAGCAAGCGTAACAGAGGAATTTTTATGGATATAAAATTTCACAATTTCAGGACGTTCTATATGTGGTTAAAATTGTACCACAATGACGTTTCCAATGCGCCATCAAACATGGCGATTTGTCAGGAGGCTCAAAGTGACGGAAAGATAGATGGAGTGGTCGATGCTGGGTGTAACCCTGAGGGAGCACATACTAAATGAAGACCTATGAAGAAGAGCTGGTGTAAATGATGTGGTCATCATTGTGGCAAAGCTTTATGATAATAATCATAATAACTTGATCTAATCTAAATTTCGACAGATTCGTCTGATGATAATACGTTTTCGATCGTTGGCAATTCCTCGTCTTCAACGCCCATTTCATCATCTTCCTCTTCATTTTTATTCATTTATTTTGATATATTTTTACTCCGGCCCAGGATAAATACCCATTTTATAAATACCTACCCGCCGGGTATTTACTCAGCGCCCATCACTGTTTGTTCCTGATTGACGCAACCTGTTTAGGAAGCAGAAACAGTAACAAATTTATCGTAAACATCCTGTTAACACCAAGAAAACTCATTTTAGTCGACCATCATTTAGTCCAGGTTAGTGTATGTTTCAGTATGTGAATACAATGTGTTATTGTTTTGCAAAAACAGAAAAAGAAAGTTCGTAAATGTTGGACTACCAAGCAGACTCTTTTAGAAAGAAATACACATGGTGTTATGCGCCTTATGAGTCCATTAAAGAAAGATGATTTAATAGCAGAATCCAGGATCGACAATGGAAATATAACGAATTTTTTTCGTAGACAAACCATTTGTTGATAAAATATGTTCCAGCACCAGATTTACTATAACCATTATATTTTTTCTTTTTCGTGTAATACTAAGCAAATACATTTTTTTTCTTTTTAGTTCATCAACATCAGCACCAATCGCTTTACTAATCTCCACCCATAAATCTTGTTTTTTGTACTGTGTAACGACATATTTTCTGCACACTACACTGCGTCCGAAACAAAAATTTTTACAGATGTTTCTAAATTTCCTAACGATATTTATCTCTAAATACGGAAACAAGCAACTTGTAGGAACATTTGTTTCTGCAGCCATAAACAATAAGGAACATGCAGAAAGTTTGAGATACAAGTTCCAGGAATAAGCAATATAAACTGCTTTAGCGATACTCCGAGCATTGATCTTTTCATTTTACGCTGTGGTGTTCTAAGCCTGTTAGCAGATGTTATGGTCCATGTTAATGTTTCTGCCTCATAGGTCATGACCGACACAACACTTTTCTTTTTTGACACATTGGTAGGTTGCTCTTAAACACATCTCTGAGTTTACCATATGCTGCCCATGAGGATTATTCTCCTCCTTAGTGTTCACAGGTCTGGTTGTCTCTTGTGATTTTAATTTCATGGCCAAGAAGGGTGTGTGTATCCACTGGTTTAATCTCTTTTCCCCTTCCATCTCAATGTTTTCGCTGGGAACCAGATTGGTCACAAATTTTGTTTTAGAGATATTGGTTTCCAGATCAACCGATGCACATACTTCCTTCAGCTCACGCAGAATCAGTTTAATGTCACCTAGGTTATCAGCGGTCAACACAATGTAATCCGCAAAAAGTAACTTTGTTAGCCTTCGACGTCAATGTTTATGCCTTTATTCTCCCAGTCCAGCTTCTTGAATGCATATTCCAGGGCTGCGATAAATAGCTTAGGAGACATCGTGTCACCCTGCCTTACCCCTCTACCAATCAGGATATGTTTAGTCCCATCATTAGTTGTATCACCATAGTCGCTTTTCTGTAGATGTTGTAAATTAACTTTGAGTATCGATTATCGACGCGGCATTCTCTTAATGCTTCCAAGATTATGGCCTTTCAAATCTGGTGATCAATATTCTCGAGAATAGTTTGTTGAGGTGATTTAGAAGGCTTATTGTTTATAGTTATCCAAGTAGATTGTATCTCCTTTTTTGGGAAACAGTATTGCCATAACGTTATACCATTTACTCGGTATTGTGCTGTTAAACAGGCAGAGGTTAAATAGGACCCTTATTTTCTGGAGCGTGCAGGGACCACCGATCTTTATTGCATTCGTAGCCACAGAATCTTCTCCCGGTGCTTTATTATTTCTGGTCTTTCTTAGAGCAAATACAATCTCCTCCAGCGAAATATTTGTATTAGTATTTCTTCGGATCCTTGGCTTGAGAATGATAGTAGTGTGTGCTTCAGTATTATGATGCCACGATAATATTTACAATCTTTTTTGATCTCCATAAGTATAGGTATTAGTACTTTCTCTCAGTTTTATACCAGTTTTTCCATCTTGGCACCGTTTCTTCTCGCTTCTCGTCTTCTTTTTAGGTGTGTTTCTTTCTTTGAAGTGTTTTAATGTTTGGAAAACCAATGAATTGAAAGAAAGTGAAGATTCAATACGCTGACTGTTACTTTTCTATAGTAAATATCAAAGGCTCTAATCAGCAATAGACATTCTGACCTTATTTTCACAAGGAAACCCATACCACATTTCGAGGAAATAGTGGTACCAACGACCACCTGTATGTAATGAGAATTCTCATCGAAAAATGTATAAATTACAAGCCCCTAGTTTTCGTCTCTGTGGACTATGAGAAAGCGTATATAAAAAGCAGATATAAGAAAGCTATGAAAGCTATATAAGAACGCCAATGTTGTCATCAAACTCAGGAGGAATGAATGAAATTAATCTTAAACGAATGAAGGAATTTAAGAAAGCTGTTAACAGTGAAGAAGATCGCTATGATAAAGAAATGCTTAGGGCTAAAACAATCACGGAGGTAATTCTGTGAGAAAACCTCCTATATACAAGAAATTCACAATATTATTGCCTATCCACAAAGACTTTGGGTTCAATTAGATGACTTGGCAGTGGTTTTACAGTATCCAGCAAATACGATAAGCAAAATAGAAATTTTGTCTCCAAAGCATAGTGCTACAAGAACCAAGTCTCTTTAATAATTACCCTAAGCATTACTTTTCTAGCTAACAGTACATATTAGAACGCGAGGTTATTAAAAGCACTGATTATTCTTTTTTAAACACACACCTACTTAACAGTTAGATTTAATTTTATTATTAATGCAAAGTTAATAATTTATAGTCCGTAAAATCATGCAAATAAATGCCAAGAACACGCATAATTACGTTTTGAATAAGGCATTTGTTATGACCATGACATTATTTTTAAAACATTTCTCAGAGATAACGAGTTCATTATCACGTTTCTTGTCTATGTAGATGTAATTATCGTTTACTTTTTAAATCCTTTTATATTGTATAAACAGGATTAAAGTAATTTTATAGATTTGGAATAAAACAAACATTTCTTTTACGATTTTTTTATTCATAACTTGATTTCATTACAATCTAATTAAGTTCTAATGCATTATAAACTTACATTAAATATTTCTTAATCATTAAAACCTCCACGATATCCTCCTCGCCTAAATCTACTTCCTCCAAATTCACCACCATATCCTCTATTAAACCCTCTTCCTCTGTTATCTCCAAAACCTCCTCTAAATCCACCTCCATTTCCTCCAAAATTGCCTCGTGCAAATTTATTAGGTGGTGGTCCATCCATATTTCCTAAAGTATGTCCGCGAGGAGGTCGTTTCGAATCTAACCTAGACATCGATGAAGATCGTTCAATTTGATAATTTCCCGCATTACTTTTACACAATTCTTTTATTACTCCAATTACTTGAATGTCCATGGGACTCATTGCGGTTACCAATTCGGGTTCTTTCGAAGCTCGGATAACCAAACTTTCTAAAGCGGGTCGAAGTGCAACGATTTCCGCAGCTACGTTTGGATCCATTTTAAAATTAATCCAATTATCTAAGCGAACAATTCCATCGACAAAATCAACTTTTCTTGAACCCAATAATAAAAGGTGTAGTGGTGAAACCATGGTCATTTGTTTACAAGAAACCGCACGAGTACGAATTTTTTCACCGAAAACGAAAAATGGAAACGGAAAAGATTGGTCGAAATTACTACAGTTTACGGAGGTTTTATGGATTAAAGCGGCTTTACTTTCGGTGGTGAGAACTTTACGTTTCTCTTTGTGATAACAAACGTTGGGATAAAGCCCGTAACACATCAATGACATAACCACATCTAACTTGGGATCTGGACCAAGTGTATCCATTGAAATTGGAAGCATACATTCTTCAGGGAAACCAACTGCAGTTAAGATACTTTGAAGTTGATTTTTCGCCTCCCATGTCACTCTTAATGTTGGCATACTAATTCCTTTGTATTCGCAAAAACGAATTTCAGCGTCTTCACCACCTTGACGGGCTTGGTCCCATAACTAAAATATTAGAAAATAATTTTTTAAATTGTAATAATTTTTAATTAATTTTTTTACTTCAAATGCGGTTAACATAGCGACATGATCTGAACATCTATCGCCAGCTAAAGCTTTTTGGTGATAACTGAGTCGCCTTTGACCTCCTTCAAGAGTAAATATTTCTGGGAATGTTGAAGAATTAGCAGCCATTGTGGCTAAGGGACCTCCACAATTAAAAATACAACCTAAAACCATCATTTTTCCCAATCGAGGTTCAATGGGGAGTTTGGCTAAAATCTTCCCTAAAGGTGTTAATTCATCGTTTTTATCCAAACATTTCATTTCACGTAATAAAACCTATCAAAAATAAATTAAATAAAAAAAATATAATATATGTACTTAGGAACGCTAGAATCTAAAAGGATTGCTATATTCTTTTGTAATCCAGAAAATGGCTAAACTCGATCAAGATTTTTCTTTTATATTATGATGTGCACCTTCTCCTAGGATGTAGTAATCCTCTTAGATTCCACCATCTTTGTATAAAATTCTTACTTCTGCTTCTATAACAGCATCTAATGGTGGTGGTTCAATTGCTTTACTCAAAAAGTGTCCAATACTTCCTAATCTTAATAATTTTATGCTTAAAGCTAATTCATGTAAAGGCGTTCTAAACATTTCCGGCGTCATATGTTCATCTAATTTTTCAAATCGGGCTTTTGTACATAAATAGAAACAAAAACCTGGTCTAACTCGACCTGCGCGCCCTTTTCTTTGTTCTAAATTAGTGCGAGATGCCCAAACAGTAGCGTAACTGGTCATGTTATTATGAGAAGTAAAAAGTTTCATTTTTGCTTTACAACAGTCGATAACATAAACGACATCGTTAATTGTAATAGACGTTTCAGCAATATTTGTGGACAAAATAACTTTAGTAATATTTATAGGAACTGGGGCGAAAACTCTGCGTTGATCTTCCCTTGGTATTTGAGAGTGTAATGGTAAAATGCAGTAATTTGAAGTTCCAAAAACTGGGTGTTGTTGCAAATGTTTCATTAAAGCGAAAATTAAATTCCAACCTGGGAGAAAAATAAGAACCGCGCCAGGAGTACTCAGCGATTTTATATGAATTAAAAGCGCTTCAATCAACTCAAAACTAATATCCTTCTCCGATAGTCGACTTAAAGCATTTTGAGTTTGTTGCGAATAATTACCATGAGAAACTTTATTTAAATTTTCTTCGGAATCTTCACCAACGACTTCATCATCATTTCCGCCATTTCTCCTCTTACGATTATCAGCGGGAGGATTAAATTGTGTTATTTGAATACAATCCTCCAAGAAAAATGATTGGACGGGATACGCCCTTCCAGGAATTTCAATAACAGGGCAATCATTAAAATATTTCGAGAATAAAGTCGTGTCGATAGTCGCCGACATAAGAATTACGCGTAAATCGGGATAACTATGAATCATATCCCTTAAAACGACCATAATAAAATCGCTGTTTACGTCACGTTCATGAATTTCATCGACAATTACGTGACTAACTCCGCGAAGACCACCCTCTAATTTCTTTAGCAAAACACCGACTGTACAGAACATGATTGAGGCGTATGGACGAGGGAGTAAAGATTCAAATCGAACGGAATATCCACAACTTGTTCCCATATTTTCACATCTTTCCATAGAGATACGCTCGGATACGGAAACAGCTGAGATTCTCCTTGGTTGAGTTACACAAATGTTGCACCAAGCTCCTTGCCCAGAAGCTATATAATCATCTAAGATAAACTGACAAACTTGAGTTGTTTTACCACAGCCTGTGTTTCCCCTTATAATAACCACAGGATTATCATTAATAACCTCCATAATCTTCCCTTTAACGCTATAAACAGGTAATTGATCTCTTTCCCTAATACTTCCTTGTAACTCCTTATCATTCTGTAATCGATCTCTTGATTCTCTCATTAACTGTTCGCTTAATTCTTCTAAAGTTGCGCGAGCAAGGGGGCCTTCATCAATATTACAATTTGTCCAAGGATTCCAATTTGGTTGAGGAGGCGACCAAGAAACTACAGATCCAGGTGTAACCTTTGATTCCTCAAAAGCATCCAAAACGGTATTTGTAAGAAGAGAAACCGGTTGATCTGATGGCTCAGAAATTGAAGTTGGGGTGATGTTTAAATCTCGAAGGCAATTTTTGACTTTAGTGCGTAAATCTGGTGAAATTGCAACTTGGTATGGCGGCATTTCGGATCCTCCGCTTGCTTTTTTGAGTGTTCCCGAAAATGCTTCTATTACGCCAAGATGGAATAGTTGCCTGATTATTGATAGGGCACAACTTTTGCTCGCCGATTGTTTATTCGAACCTGTATCGCGACCCATTATGTTCCGATTGAGTTGTTTGACATAAAAACTCATTTCCGCCACAAAACTCCTAAACAGCAATTTAATATTAAAGAAAATGTTCATTAAGAATTAAAAAAAATTACTTACAGATAGAGAAAATACTTTTAGGATATGTAGGAAACCTATAGGAAATAAAAGGTTTTTTTAGTCGTTCAAAAACTCGTATCTTTTAATCCATTGCATATTTATAGTTCTTTAAATTGAATGTCAATAGTTTTAAATGATATTAATATTCAATTTTAAACTAATTTAAATATTCTTGATGATAACATACCATATTTGTTGGTATGTTAGCATCAAATCTTATTGAACAACTAAAAAAATTCTTCTAAATCCTATAAGATCCTATTTTTCTACACTTTATTGATGAAAATAAGAATTTAAATTATCATAAACTTATTTTCATCAACAATATTATTTTTTAATTTTCTAGAAATTTGAAAAACGTTTTATTTAGTTAACTTACTTTGTATGATCAGGCCCAACTGGAGTATATTTATAATCAGCATTGATTTTATTAGTTTGCATGAATTGATGCAACTTTGATTTAGCATTCTCAATAGTCCAATTACCGTGGATTTGAGCGTTAACATCTAAATCTTCAGCTTCTTCAACTCTTTTTTGTTGCATCTTTTCAATAAAATCCCAATTGGGTCTGTCTCTATCAACAGGGCGATAAGCTTCACCATAACTTTGAGGACCCATTCCTTCTCCAAATACAGACTTTTGAGGCGTATTGTTATCTAAAAAAAAATATAAAATATTTAATAATAAGTATAGATAACTAAAATTATAATGATATGGTATTGGTTTCATAATAAAGGTTCTTTATTTTGTTATAATTAAATTAGTTCGGTAGATTCGAAATCATTTCTGTGTTGATGCCAATTTATTTTGGTAACAATTCTTTGTATTTCATTGCTTGGAATATGTAGCGTACAAATGGACACTTCAACTTCATAAAGGTATAGCTTTGTTCCAACAAGCGGTACGATTCGTCAAATGCAATCGCACATGTTAAATCATCATCAACAGCCCATTTCTGTCCACTGCTGCTTCCTCATGTCACCTCCAGTCCTCCTTGTTGTGAGCCAGTGAGATCCAGTTTGTTGGTATTCTCCTGAGGTCATCTCTCTATCGAGTCGGAAGTCTACCACGACTGCATTTATCTGCTTTCGGTCGTCATTCCAGGATTCTCTTCGTCCGCCTACCAACTCTTAGTCTAGCCACGTGTCCGGCCCATCTCCATTTTAGCCTTGCAGTACGTACGATGATTTGCTCTACGCCCGTTCTTTTTCTCACTTCTTCATTTCGGATTTGGTGTCTGAGGGACAACCCCAACATGGATCTCCCCATTCTGCGTTGTGTCACTTGTAATTTTCTTACAGATGTCTTTGTAAGTAATAGTGTTTCAGCCCCGTAAGCTGCTCAACCTAAAGTTAATATTCTCGAGAGCTCGCACGTCTGATTGTCCCTACCAATCCGGACTTCATGGCCAAGGTATATATATTTCTCAGTAATTTCGATGTTCTCGTTTTCCACCTTCACAGGTTCGCTAGGTACTAAATTTGTCATCATTTTTGTTTTATTGTAGTTTATTTTCAGTCCTACTTTTTGCATTGCCTGTTGTAGCTCTTCTAAGATCTTTCGAACTTCTTGCGGGTCTTCTGATATTAACACTATATCATCCGCAAATCTGAGATGATTCAATCTTTCCCCATTTACCATAATACCTGAATGCATGTTCTAGAACTGCCGTAAATAGTTTTGGAGACATTGTACCTATCTCCCTATCGAATCTATCTTTTTATTTTCTTTGTCATAGTGTGTAAGTTAACTATTGTCATTGTGTTTTTATAAATATTACAGATAATATTGGAGTACCGTTGGTCAATTCTGCATTCCTTTAGTGGTCGTCAAATTAAGACCATTTCAACAGTGTCAAACGCCTTGTGAAAGTCGACAAAGACCAAGTTTAACGGTCGGTTGTACTCTATAGTTTTCTCAATAAGGGTTTTAATACATTGCAAATGGTTATTAATACCATAACCAAGACGAAAACCAGCTTGCTTTCTTAGTTGGTAAAGATCTAATTTATTTTCCAGCCTGTTGTTAATTGTACGTGTGTAAAGTTTATATAGGTGGTTTAGAATAGAGATGATAGAGACGATATATCGATACCGGTCACTTTTTACCGATGATTTTAAAATCACTGTCACCACCAGTTCTTTTCTTAGCAGTTACCAGTGATTTTAATGGAATTGACAAGAAATATTCGTTTCTAAAAACACCGCTCCGGTGACATGATTCGTTACCTATAACAGATTTCTTGCTTTTCGGGGAATACCCAACGTATGCATTAAATGCGTTCGGCGTGTTTTACTTTTATTATTATTATTTTATTAGTTAGTGTTCAGTTCAGACGGTAAATCGAGAATAATTTACGTATAAAGTGTACATGTGTTGTTTGTTGTGTTTCTTTGTGCATTTTAAATCTTGAAAGAAAGCTACTTCAAGTTTATCATCTACTACTTAGGGATTACTAACTAATGAATAACGGCAGCAAACAATAATGTGCGATACTTTCACATCAAAATCCATTGACGGTAATTAACTAAGATTATTTACCGACGATTTTCAACCATTTGATGTAGTTGAAAACAAAGGATTCAAAGAATTTGTAAAATCACTAAATAAATCATATGAGCTAAAAATTTATTCGAAAAATGTTATTTAAAATGCCAAGAAATAGTAAGAGGCTGTAGATATTTATGTCTGACAACCGCTTGTTGGACCTCCACAAACCCCAACAGTTTTATAAGATTGTAAAATAATGGAAGAACACCATACAGGTAAAAACTTAGCTATTGAAATTAGAAACATAATTTCAGATTGGAATATAGCAGATAGAGTTATACTAGTTGTTTCTGACAATAGCTTTGTTCGTTGGGACTGCACTACTTGCACTAAGCAGTTTAGTGCAGATGTTGTGTGTTCGTTGGGCATAGTGTAGTTTAGTGCAGTTGCACTCATACTGTTCGTTGGGCCATGAGCAGTGCAATTTCGTGCAGCCGGTGCAAGTTTAGTGCAGATTTTGTTGCACCTGCTTTCGATTAAGTTCAATAATGCAGCGTAATTCAGTGTAACTAATGGCGAAATATTTGAAAGCGTGTTTTGTAATAATTAATATTAAATATTAAGAAATAAAACCTTACAATAATTAATATTTGTTGTATCAGAGAACACACTACATTCAATCCCAGTAGAGGCAGTAAAAAAGTACCCCTACATTTTTGAAATAATTTAAAAACTACCCTGTCGATTTTGACGGCATTAAATACACTTATAGTACGTTTAAAAATATTAATTACGATATTTTCTCTTTTAGGGGTGGCTGGGGTTAACTACCCTCACCACCCCAAATCTTTTTTTTTTGCAAGTACTGCTTATCGATTTTGGTGCAATTTAGCATAGTACTTTTGAAAGAACTTATAAGGGTTAGCAGTTTGGTGTAGAAAATATATTTCGCTAATAATTGAAAAAAATAATAATAATATAATAATAATTGATGAATCGATACTAAAAAAACATTCTGCGATGATTTCATGTTCCGCGACTATTTCGCTGACAATGTCCTGTTTGTCCATTTCAAATATTACACACTTTTTTTGATAAAAATCTGTTCGTTGCGACCACGGTTTATACACTTTTCTGACCTGCACTCAGTTGACATGACATTGCACTAACTTACACTTAATTGCGCTATGACGTCATACTAGTGCCATGTCGTGCAGAGTAGTGCAGTCCCACGAACAAACCTAATGCATCGAATATTAAAAACGCTATTACAGCTGAACTAAAATTGAACCATTTTGGATCTTTTGCTCACTCAATAAATTTAGTATTGCAAAATTGTTTGGAAACATCTCATATTTCCCTACTGATATCAAAAATAGTAAATGAAAAATTATCAAATTATCAAGAAAATTCTGGAAAAATACCATTAAAATTGTTGCAAGATATGTCCACTTGCTGGAATTCGACTTATTATATGTTGAGCGGATTTGCCATTAGAAGTACCATAGCAATATTGGATACAGATATTTCTGTGTTAAGTTCAGATGAATGGAAAATGTGCCAAATTATGAGAGATTCTAAAACCAGTCATTAAAATTGTAAGTGGAGAATACTATGCCACAGGTTCTTCCGTAATCCCTTTAGCGAATGGACTGGATTGTTGATATTTGCGAAAACTTTCAAAAAAATCTACAAAACTTTCAAATCATGCACGACGACGTGCAGGAAAATGCGCAATTTGACGGAAATGATGATTGTAAAGAAGATGAAATATCGGTGTGGGATATATTAGCAAAAAAATCAACCATGAAACATAAAAGCCACCCTTCTAATTCCAGGGCTATAATCGAAATAGAGAGATACCTGGAAGAAGATGTATGCCAAGACGCATGTAATCTCCCATACTTTAAACAAATAGTGCAAGACAAATTTCGCGTATAAGGCAGGTTATATCAGAAAGAAGAAATAGAATTAGTCCAGACAAAGTAAGGGAACTGCTTTACCGTAATACTAATCAATCACACATAGTGATGTAGAAAAGTGACAAATTGCTTTGAATTTTTATTTTGTTATTATTGTTTGTTTTATTTTTAGGTTTATTTCGTTTTTATTATTTTTATAGTACAGGAATATTTACACTTAATTAAAATAAAGTACTCTGGTAGGACTATTCTGCTGTGGTGTTATTTCTTTTATTTTTAATCATTAATAATGAAAAACCCAGTTGAAAATTTTAATTTTTGTATAGCATATAGCAAGCAAGTTGTCATTGAATGTTTTTCTATTTGTCTTTATTAGGAGAATTCTTTTTTATGGTTCTTTTTGTTATCTGGAAGCCTATAGGGTATTTATGTTACTGACATGACTGTATTTCATATGACTACAAAATAGCAGATAAATGTTTTCACTGTAAACAGGTCTATTATAAGTGGTTTCAGACTGTGCACATCATTTAGAGAGAACAAAACAAACCTAAGTTGTATTAAAATCACCAGTATCTGCTAAAAATCGCCATCACTGTTATACCAGTGAATCAAAATTCACTACTAAACTTATCAGTAGTTTAGAAGACTAAAAAATATAATATATAATTCATATATTAAAATATAGGTATATAATTCTTGAGACTTGTTTCATCGCCCTTTTTATGGATGAGAATCCTAATAAAGTTATTCCACTGGGTTGGAACAGTTTGATTCTGAAGACATATTAAATAATGCAATGAAATCTGCGACATTACTTGACATGTGACCACTTATTGGAACAAAGTTTATATCAATTTTATAACTTTGGCTTAATCTGACATACCTATATTTAAATGAGTTTTACTTTATAATACCTTGTGATACTCCAGAATTATTCGGTCCAGCATCATTCCCTCCAGATAGCCCAACATCCACAGGAACATCTTTAGGATTAACCAAAGATTGTCGAACAAGAAAACTAATGAAATCCCTCGAAGCGTTCGCTTGAGAATCTTTCTTATTCGTAGAATTACCCACACCAACGTAGTCAAATCCGTCGATACGTACTTCGCATAAAAATCTTTGTCGGTGTTTCGGACCTTTTAAAAGCGTTATTAAAGTTGAGGTTATGAATCATTAATTTAACTTACCAGTCGGTCGTACTTCGAATTGGGGTTCCTTCTTGTTCTTTTGACAATAGTGGTGAAGAAAAGACTTCACATCGCTCATTTTGTAAGTTTTCTTCAAGAGTTTGATGATAATTTGTTAAAAAATGCGGATAAAGCACAAACACTCAACGACAATCAATAATTTTATGGCGATAAAGCGTCACTTAGAAGTTTATCTTTTTGTTTGTAGATGGCGCTATTCAATTTAAATTTCAAATTTAAAAAATTAATTTAATTATTAATTTCAATTTTTTAACGAAATGGTATTGGAAAAGATTTGATTAGTAAGATAAAAGTTTTTAAAAATTTACGATCATAATAAAATGATTTTGGAGTTTATAAATTTTTATACCAAATTAAATTGTATCAAGTTTATCTTGTATTCCTGTTTTGGTTGTTGAAATTTTATTTAGGTTTGTATTAAAGGCCCCCCGGTAGGGTCGAAATCAAAAAAGCTTTCTTATAGTCCAGATCGCGGGCCCATGCGATCACAACCGCTTTAATAGTGCTCTAAAGCGCTCACAGTTTAAATTGCTCCGCATAGACCGAGTGATCTGGCAGACCAATGTCCCCATAATCTTAATTGAAGTGTGTGGTGTTGAATTGCTCTCGAGAAAATGTCTGCAAAGGTTCCCGCGAAATTGATCTGGCTGGGAATGTTATTTTGTAAGTATCCCTAGTGCAAATTACAAACCAAATTATATCATTTTTTTCTTTTCAATTAAATCACTTTCTCAATAACCAAAACCAATAAAAAAAAGTTCCCATGTTATGTATTATCTAATAGTATTATGATTATTTAACGAATTATGAGCGATAAGTAGTCGTTTTAAGAGGATTTTAATTAAATATAGTTTGTAAAATGGTTTTAACTCAGCCCTTCTGTGTATGTTTGTTTTTAACACTTGATAAGAAAAAAAAACTTGCTGTTGCGAGTTGAAAGGTATGAACTGAAAATTCGTGTTGACTTAAGTTACTTAAATTAGACACTTAAACACACAAGTTTATCGCGGATATTATTACTCAATTATGTTTTGGGCACACTTTTTTTGTAACTCTCTTATTATAATATAATAATTCTTTTCTATTATTATTAATCGAATTAGTTTATTAATTAATTTATGTAAAACACATGTTTTTGAGTACATTTTTTCTTAATCATCGCATAAAAAGTTTTGTAATCGACCACTTCTACATATTACTAGATGAACGATTAACCAAATTTTAGATGAATCATGTCATCAGATGGTTTGCAAAGAAATCTTAGATTTTATGCAAATTAAATCGTAAAAAGTTAGGCTGCAAAATCGATTATATCTAATTTTATTTCTATTTACTTTTATGGTTGATACGACTTTATGATTAATTTGATTGTCTTACGCAAGCTTTAAAATTTTGTGTGCCGTACAAAGCGCAAGAAATTTCGGCAATCAACCATGGCGCCAACCTTCCTGAAAAGATCCGTCCTTTTATGGAGAAATACTCATAATAGGGTCGCTTTCTATGCGTTTAGTTTGTATATTACACTTTCTTTTACTAAGATACTACATAATAACCTTTTATATATTTATATTTATAATCATACTTATTTAAGCCTTTATTATTATAGATGTTTCAAATTCCTTACAAGAAACCATCCCATTATCTACACATCCATCAATCGATATTAGCTCAAGTAAGTATCTAATAATTAATTAATTTAAACGTGAACAAAGCAGAAAATCGAGATTGGTCTATGATAACCGTTACTTAATCCATCCATAGACATAATTATTAATTACACGAAACATTTTGATCGGAAAATTGAAAGCAAAAAAAAATTGTGTTCAAAAAAAAAATTAGATGAGATAGTGAAAATATTTATCTATAAAACCGTGTTCTGCTCCATATTTGGAACTACGGTGTGTGTGTGTGTAAGCACTAGAAACGTGTCGGTTCCTCTTTTTTTCCTCTTCAACATCTTCAAGATTCGTTGCTCTACTACACGTGTTGTATACGTTTTATTTCGGACGATGTAGACGAGTTTTATTGTAAAGTATCGAATTTTTGGAGCGCTTCAATCTGGTTAACGAGATCACCATCAATAACACGCCTGTCCGAAAACGAAGAAAAAAATTTTAAAGTCTTTTTTAAAAATAGATACATAAATCCGGACGACAATAAACAATCAATACATAAATCTGTAGATAAAGAAAAAAAATAAAGGAAAATAGGCGTTAGTTTTAAACTTTTACGGTTATTTTCACCCACATAATGTTACTACGATCCAACTCACCACTTTATTATAGGTAGTCGAAAATTTTTTATAATATTAATGGTGACATTTATTTGAATTACTACATTTAAGTCTTCATTCAAAATATTTTTAACATATATTATTACAAGTTATTAAAAAAAAACTCACAAATGTCATCTTCTTGGTTTGTTAAGATGAAATTGAAATGTAGAAATGAATGACTCAGCCGTATCATACGGTTAATAATAACCATTGTGTCTGAAGCCTGAAGATTTTCGTGCCATAGAAGATTCTTTGTTATCCCAACCGATCCACTAAATAAATTAAGGCTGGACAAATATTTGATTTAGAAACGCATCGTGTCTAAGTTTTAAGGTCAGTCTTAGTGGTAACCTTGAAATTTTTTTAATTCATGAGTACATTCCAAGTGGTAAATGCTTCTTAATTGATTCAATTTGGTTTGATATCTATAAGCTGATATCTAATTTATGGGAAATGGTCAAAAACACTTAAAGAATTTTATTTTGCTTAATATCGTTTTCGACTTAACCATTTTTCGACCTGTAAAGTGCTCAATTGTGGACATCAAAGAGAACCCTGCTGTGTTCATTTACATTGTTAGGTTCCACTGCAGAGTTAAACCAAAACAGAATATTTTAAATTAATACGCTGTTTCAATCATAGTCTGATTCTATTTTATTGCCATATCATCAACAACATGATTAAAAGAGTGGTTTTACACTAAACGACGCTATTGCATCTCTTTGATATCCTGCAAATTTAAACCCAAGTCACTCATAACATCTCCACTCACATCACATCTCCACTCATAACATAGAAAAGAACGATGCAGCGGAAATAAGATGGTATAAATTAAAATCTAATATACTGATAGCTGCACATGAAGCAGTAGAAAAGAGCAAACTCTAATCTAATTATGGAAAGATAATAGAAGATAAATAATTTGCTATGCAGATGGTATGCTACTTATAGCAGAAAACGAAGATGATCTCCAAAGTCTCATTCAACAACAAAACAACAACAAAAATACAATATGAAGATTTTCACAGAAAAACCAAATCACTAGTGACGTCTAGAATACCTCCATGCATATCTAGATGCAAGCTGGAGCCGGAAGGCACAGTCATAGAGGTGATGACCTTTAACTACCTATACAAGGAGGCGATAAAAACATTAAAGATCACACGGTGCCTTAGGCAAGCATTTTGGAGAAACAAATACATACAAGTAGAGAGTAATGTTAAAATATACAAGGAGATAGTTCACCCAGTGCTAACTTATGGAAAGAGAACAGAGCAGAAACATAGAGAACAAAGTAGAAAGTAAGGATGTTAGAGATGAAGTCCCTCAGATCGATCCTAGTACTTTCTTTACGACTTTGTTTTTGACATTTATTAATGATATGCCTAGCTGCCTGCCACAGAGCTCGGAGGTTGTACTTTATGTGGAAGATACAGCCACTATAAATACCCACCATAATTTCAATACTCTTAATCAGGCTGTGTCTAGGTCTACCCGAAGACTTCTATCTCGGTTTGAATCTAATAATCTTGCGCTGAACACGTCCAAGACTGAGAAATTCCTCCGAACCTCATTCAGCCGGTTAAATATCTGGGAGTGATACTTAATTCCAAGCTAACGTGGGAGGCTCATATACTGAGCTTGGTCAGAAAGTTAAATAAATTTATTTTTGCAATTTTAAATCTGATAAATATAGTACCATTTGACACTTTGAATGTTACTTATTACGGAGACTTCCACCCACAAGTGTCCATTCTATGTTGGGGTCACTCTGCTTACGCTGCCCAGGCTTTTCGAATTCAAAGGAGATGCTTGAGAGTCATGACTGGTTTGCGCTTTGCCGAATGGTGCAGAACCAAATGACATCATCAGTGCGCTAGGCGAGATCTTGGCGAAAGGTCTGTCCCTTTCCAAAGGGAACCAACAGGAAAAACGGATGAAATCTTGGATCGACCCAAACACTACGCATTACCACTATCTATCTATCTATTAAGATCGACAAAGAAACAAGGCGATAAGAGCGAGATGCTGCATATAAGATATTTGCAGGAAACGAAATACCAATAGAATCAATATGTGGACAGAATGGCGGAAGACCGAATAGCCAAAATATGCAAACGCAATCGACCAGTGGGGAAATAGACTGCAAGAAGACCGCCGAAGAGATGGGAGTAGATGTGGTAACCATCATCCGTGGAATAACAAGAGAAATCCTAAAGTAAGAAGAAGTAAATTTTTGCCGAGATATTAATTTCTAGTTTGAAAACTCTACAACTTTACTTTATTAAGAAATTACTGACATTTTATACTCTACCAACTTGTACCTTGAAAAGCCAGACTACTTTTAACAAGCATTTTAGTAATTGCTACGATTCTGATGCAATTTTGCTAATTGTGAAGTAACTAAGTCGCGATACAAGTTGAAAAAGGTCTTTGATTTTAAATATGTTATTATTCCTTGTCTCTTTTCAATTGCTGTAAACTCGCAGTGACCGAGAAATTTTATCTCATTACTCCTAATTTCATAGCAGAGAATATTGCAGAGATTTTTTTCTCCTTCAGAGAGTGACTGGTACAATTAATTTATAGGTATAAGTTTTGATTGCAACATGAAGTATTGTTCTTATAATATTTGGGAGTATTTGGTCCATCTTAGTATTCACAACGTTTTTTCCAGAGTCTCCATTTTTCAGAAACGGCAGATCATCTTGAGGCTACAAAAATATTTTCATTTGTCACAGCTTTATTACTTGTATTATGCATAGATATTGTGAGATCTTTGGCTAGAAGTGATTTATTTCTTTTGTATGTATGTGGGACACATACTTTTAGCAAATACGTGCATAATGTTGTCTTTTACTCTCTTTGGAGTATCAGAAGTGGTGAAGTCCAATAAGTATAAGTAATTCTACCGTTCGTCTTGGCCCGTTCATTTAAGAACATTTGCAAAAAGATTTTGCAATCATTGCTATAATTTAAGCCAAACAGGGTAATTTACAAGTTTGGTTGATTGGTTTGCTGTGAAACTTTCGCTTTATCTAATATTTCTACAGATATTAACGCAAAAATTTGTAACAAGTTTTTTGATATTCCTCTTCTGATTATTTTTCTGTTAACACTTACATTTCGGCAACTATAACGTTTCAAACTTCCGAAGCAACCTCAAGTTGCTCACATCTGTTTATAACTCCTTGAGTTCAAAAAGAGATCAAAAAGATTTATCGAGTATAAATTATAAATACTAAACTCTTCATGTCGTTAAATCCACTTACAGAAAACCAAGTTATTCCTAGAATTTATTGAATTTACTTTTTATTCATAGACATATATTTATCATGATAACCAATTAATGTAATTATAAAATTCTATTTTAGGCTACAATTTAATGATTTTTAAACTCTCTTTTTTTTTCAATAAATATTTTTTTATAGATCACCACGTTCAAAAAACAAAACGTTCTATTAAACATGACAAAGATATTGAACTAGAAGATTTATCTCAAGAATTTTCCTCAAAATTAGATATGACGTGTTTAATTGGATTAGTAAAAGCTCCAGAGATTAAAAACGCGAAAATGATTCGTTATGCTAAACGAAAATCAAAAAATAACGATAATAAAAAGAAAAAAGCATTTTTAGTTGCTATCTACGAATGTTTCGAGGATTATAAATTTTCTTCGGCAACTCATAAATTATATTGTAGTCAAGGTGAATGGATTGGAGAAAAACCGAGTTGCAAAAGAATTGGTAAAGTTAGACATTAAAATCGGGTGGTGGTGGATGTTTTGTTATTAGATTTATATGGGTGTTATTTTTCAATCTTATTTGATTACCTATTTTGGTTAATTAAGATATTCAATGAAGATAAAGCTGTTTTTTGTACCGTTAAGTCCTATCCACCTCATCAATCACACGGGTTAAATGATATGCTGTCTTTGAAATGGTGGTGGTAGCAGAGATAGTGACTAATAGACTGTTTAAAAGATTAATATCATTAAAATTACACACGATTTTTTTATTATCAAAATTAAACACAAACAAAAATTTTCTAGATGGAGTTTTACCACAAAGCGATGAAGCAGAAGACGATGTTGATGATGAAACCTTGGAAGATATCTGTCCGTTGGAATTTCGGTCCCATTGTGAACACAATTGTACGATGGTCGCCGGACAGCCAACTTGTACATGTTACAAAGGATTTACCATGGTCGACGGACACTGTCAAGGTAAATTTGTACCGAACCAGTTCGTTTTTGATCAACGCAACCGATCAAACGGTCGCGTTCTAACCGCTACACACCAACTCTTTTATTTGTTTTTTTTTTAATTCCTTTCATTCGAGCTTTCAATTTAAACTAACAGTTCTTTATACAAACAAAAATAGAAAGAAAAACATTTTTTTGCTTCCTAGATATTGATGAATGTAAAGATAACGATGCCGGTTGCGAGCAAGAATGCATGAATATCCCCGGTTCTTATGAATGTTTGTGTCCAAACGGATATAGGATAACATCGAACGGGAAAAATTGCGAAGACGTGAATGAATGTTTGCTTAGAAACGGCCACGGACCGTGCCAAGATATTTGTGAGAACACCATAGGTTCATATCAATGTTATTGCTCGAACTTAAACGGTACAATATTAGCTGATGATAACCATACTTGTTTGGACGTTGATGAATGTAAAGAAGAAAAATCTGGGTGTTCGCATGGATGTATTAATACGCATGGAAAAGCTTTTTGTACTTGCCCTGATGATATGGTACTAGATTCTGATTGGAAAACATGTATAGGTACTAAGATTTATGTTTAAATGTTGAGATGAAAATGTTTAAATTTTGGGTTTTAGGTGAATCAAAAAATCAAGAAGATGAAGAGGAAAATGAAATTAAAAATCAAGTAGAAAATAATGAAGAAAATGAAAATGAAATCGAAAATCAAGGAGAAAAAGACGAAAAAATGACTGAAGATGGAAATGAAAAAAAGGAAGAAGAAGAAAATGATATTGGAGAAGAGAACTACAAAGAATCTGAAAATGAAGATAATGGAAATGACGAAGAAGAAGATTATGACGAATATGATGATGATGAAGAAGAAGAAAATAAAGAATCTGAAAAAGAAGAAACTGGGAATGAACATATCAAAGCTAAAGATGACGTGTTTCTTATTACAAAACAGTCAGAAATTGGTATCAAGAATCAAGGAGAAACTGTTAATGAAGAAATTGATGAACAAGATAATCATGAAGATTCGGATTGTAATGATGGATACAGATTCAACCAAGACACCAACCAATGCGAAGGTTTTTGATTTTATCTTTAAAGTGTATCTAAAGAATACCGATAAACATCAGGATAAAGTTTTACTTATAATCCTAAGATTGTTCCAAATCAACTTTATTTTCATATTTGAGTGAAACTTAACAAATTGAATACTTGTCTTAAAACATGAATTCGCAAGTAATCCAGTAATTTGAGTTCCATCTCAAACCATTCCAGGTCAATCTTTTGTTTTTTGACACACCAATCATTTGATGACTAACCACTGGTGAGGATACATTGTCAAGGTACTAATCATTGGAGTCAGACCATAAACGATGAAAAACAGCCCTCTTTTTTGTATTAAACAAAGTGCTTCCTTCTGCTTCTTGCTCATTAAAATCTTCTTACTCCTGTTGATGCATTCTTTGTTGCATCATCATCTTCATTGTCGCTTTTCATCCTGTGAATTTTAGTCTGCTCGCCAATTTGAATTCCCATCATTGCTATAACATTAAAAATATCAAAAAAGCCTTCATTAAAAATGCTGGCTGCTATATTAGCAGATATTTCCACTGTTTTAAAGCCACAGTGTAGCTGTTTGTGTTCTAATCGCCAAATAGTAGAATTAAAATTTTCTGTATCAACACCCAAACATTTTTAAAACAATTCTCTTGATGATAAGTCTTCGTACATTGGATTTACGCGTTTGTAACATCTTTAGAAGTTGATTATGTTTATATGTATTGTATTATCTTTATCACCAATATAACTAATATACCTCACTTCATATCACTCCCAAGATCTTTGAAACTTATATCTTACCACATGGAGATGGATTCCTTCATTTATATTCCGGTAAGAGTCGCCATTCCAAATAATGAATTAAAACTTCTTCCACGTTCCATCGCCGGTCACAGTTATTTCTGTTGCCAAATGGCTTTTTCCTTCAATACATCGACGCTACCAAGCTAAAACGGCAAAAAGCACCAAAATGGCCATGGATTTTTAAATCTGCATACAACAGTTAATGCGATACAACCACAAACAAACTTCAATCGCTACATAATTGGTTTAAAGTTTGCGCAAATGCCTATTTGAATACGATATAATGAAAGTTTTTTGTGTTTCAAATCGAGTCAACCTCGTTTATGTCGTTTTAGCTTGGGAGCGTCCACTTCAAGTACTGCTTTTGATCCTATGTATATGTTTTCTAAAGCAACATAGTATAAAGTTGAGACCATAAAATAAGTTTAACTCCTTTCTACATTGCTTTCTACTTGCTAGATTAATATTTTGTTGAGCTCCTAAAGTTGTCGGTATTTTTTGGTCATCCCATAATAATACTCTACAAAACATAAAAAAATCTTTTTTTAGATATTGACGAATGCGAAGAAGACGAAGTTGATTGTTCCGATGATTGCGAAAATACTTTAGGGAGTTATAAATGTACTTGCCCAAAAGGTTTTGAAATCACACCAGAAGATCCAACTTCTTGTGAAGATGTGAATGAATGTCTAAGTAAACCATGTTCTCCTGGTGATTGTTTTAATGAACTTGGATCTTATTATTGTTCGTGTCCAGAGAATTATAAGAACATTAATGGAACTTGCGTTGATGAAATTGATGAAAAAGTTGATGAAAAAATTGATGAAAAAGACAATGAAAAAATTGATGATGAAGTTGATGAGGAAATTGATGAAAAAGATGATGAGGAAATTGATGAAGAAATTAATGAAAAAGTTGATGATAAACCTGAACTTAAATGTTCTCATGGCATTATAATCGATGAAGGTGTAGAAAAATGTAACTGCTTTAGTGGATATATTCTTGGAAGTGATCAACAAACATGCGAAGACATAGATGAATGTAAACTAAATAAATGCTCACATGATTGCGAAAATTATCCCGGTGGTTACAAATGTTCTTGTCCACCAGAAATGTTTTTAGAAAACGATACTTGCATCAAAATAAATTGCAATCACGGTCATCTTAACGATGATGGAAAAGTAATTTGCACATGCGATAAAGGATATGTTTTAGCTCAAGATGGTTTTACTTGCGAAGATATTAACGAATGTAATCACCAAAATAATTGCTCGCAAATTTGTGTGAACAAAATTGGTTCTTATGAATGTTCTTGTCATAAAAACTACGAGCTGCTTGATGATAAATTTTCTTGTAAAGACATTAATGAGTGTGAAAACAAAAAATTAAATAATTGTACTCAAATTTGTACAAATATAGAAAACGGTTATTTATGCGATTGCAACAAAGGATATAAATTAAAAAAAGATGGATTTATATGTGAGGATATAGACGAATGTGAATTACATAACGATTTATCATATAACGGAAAAACTTGCGCTTACGATTGCTTAAATACCGAAGGATCTTATAAATGTGATTGCCGAAATGGTTATCTAATAAACGAAGATGGTCATTCTTGCGATGATATTAACGAATGTTTAGAACACAACGGCAATTGTTCCCATTTTTGCGCAAATTTATTAGGAAGTTACGAATGTTATTGCCCAGATAACTTCGAAATCACAAACGACACAAAAACTTGCGAACAAATTAATCCGTGCAAAATAAACAACGGCGAATGTTCTCACATTTGCACCTTCACCAACAACACAATCATTTGTGATTGTCCCGAAGGATACGAACTTTACGACAAAACTTGTTTCGAAATTGATCCTTGCACTATCAATAACGGCGGTTGCTCGCATTTTTGCGAATACGTCAATAACACGGCTTCTTGTTATTGCCCCGATGATCACTTTTTATTCAACGATACATTTTGTAAACAAGAAAATCCTTGCGAAGTTGCAAACGGCGGTTGTTCGCATATTTGTAAGTTTGAAAATGGGGAAGTTGTTTGCGAGTGTCCGGAAAGTCAAGAACTTTACGATAATATTTGTACTGAAATCGATTTATGCGGAGTGAATAACGGAGGTTGTTCGGATTATTGCGAATTTGTTAATGGAACTGTTTTTTGTTCGTGCCCAGATGAGCTTCAATTAAAAAATGATACTCATTGTTTTAATCCGTGCCAAGATAATAATGGGGGTTGTTCTCATTTTTGTTATGTTATTGATGGTGAAGTAAAATGTTCGTGCCCCGAAAATCTTCAATTAAATAATTTTAAGGAATGTTTTGATCCGTGCCAGGATAAAAACGGGGGGTGTTCCCATAATTGTTCGTTTTCTCATGGAAGAATTAAATGTTCTTGCCCCACATCTCATAAGAATCACAACGATACTCATTGTTATGATCCTTGCGAAGTAAATAACGGTGGATGTTCCGATTTTTGTAACTACAACGATAAAGAAATTATTTGTACTTGCCCGGATTATCACGAATTAATCAACGAAACTCAATGTATTGAAATCGATGGTTGTTTGGATAATAACGGGGGATGCTCTCATATATGCAAAACGATTAAAGGAGACGTCTCATGTAGTTGTCCCGAAAATTACGAGTTATTCAATGAAGTTAATTGCAAAAAAATGAATCCTTGCAAAATAATAAACGGGGGATGTTCTCATTATTGCAGTGTTAACGACGAAAATGAAGCAATTTGTGATTGCCCCGAGTATCATTTCTTAGAAAATAAAATTTGTGTATTCGATCCTTGCTTAGATAATAACGGAAATTGTTCCCAACTTTGTACAAAAATAAACGATCAAGGAAAATGTTCTTGTTTCGATGGGTATCATTTAAAAAATGATTATTTATGCGAAAAAAATAACCCTTGTGATGAAAACAACGGGAATTGTTCCCATATCTGCTTAAACAACCACGGAAAATCGTTATGTTTATGCCCTGATGATCACGAACTCCACAACGAAACCACATGCATAAAAGTAAATCCCTGTTTTATTAACAACGGAAATTGTTCTCACGAATGCTCTTTTAATTCCACCGTGCAATGTCTTTGTCCCCACGGATATATTTTATCAAATGAAAAAAATTGTGTTCTCCAAAATCCTTGTTTAATAGACAACGGGGGATGTTCCCACACTTGCACATCAATCGATGGCCAAACAATTTGTGAATGTCCCAATAGATACGAATTAATCGACAAAAAATGTGTCATGATAAACCCTTGCCTCATAAACAACGGAGGATGTTCTCATAATTGTAGCAACGTGAGGGGCCGAGCAAAATGTTCTTGCCCAAAAGGATTTAAACGCCACGGAAAAATGTGTTTAGAACGAAATCCTTGCATAAAAAATAACGGGGGGTGCTCTCATTATTGCACAAGCAAAAAAGGGCTAAAAACTTGTCATTGTCCAAGCGGGTTTCATTTAAAACCCAACAACAAAATTTGTAAAGAAATCAACGAGTGTGAATATGAAAACGGTGGGTGTTCCCATTTTTGTAGAAACACCGAAGGAGCTTACGAGTGTTATTGCCCCGATGGTTACCGATTAGATAACACAAAAAGAAATTGCGTTGATTTTAACGAATGTTCGGTGGATAACGCAAGGTGCTCACACGAATGCACAAACACAAATGGATCGTATTATTGCGGTTGTCCCCAAGGATTCAAATTAGGCGAATCTAATCATACTTGTTTCGATATTAACGAGTGCGAAATTAATAATGGAGGGTGTCACGATGAATGTTTAAACACCCAAGGAAGTTATTCGTGTAAATGTCGAAATGGTTATGTTTTACAAACAGATGGGAGTTGTACAAAAGAAAATAATCAATGTGTTTACCCCAATTTATTAAATGGTCGTATTAATTGTAGGGGAATTTATCAAAAACCCGAAAATGTCCCAATAGGAACTGAATGCATGTTTCAATGCGATCGAGGATACAAACTCATTGGGGAAAATACAAAAATTTGTAACAAAGATGGAAATTGGAGCTCTAATAACCAACATTGTCTTCGTAAGCACTTAACTTTATACATACCAAACTAAATTAATTATTAATTTTTTTAGCTGTTTCTTGCACAAGATTAATTCACCCAGAAAACGGTAGAATAATCCCAAGTTATTGCACAAACGGAAAAATTTTCCCAGGTGAAAAATGCCGGGTTTATTGCAGAAATGGTTATACACCAATTCCTCAAGTTGAAATTATAACGTGTTCAGAAAATAACCAATGGAACCCACCAGTAAATGCCGACTACATGAAACACGTTTGCATAAAAGATGATCGCAATTTTCCAAAACCTTACATTCGATGCCCCGGTAACGGAATTTTAACTTTCACTCTCCCCCACGGGCAAAATTCGATGCCAATTCGAATCCCACGACCCGAATCGAACGTCGATTGGAGAAGATACGTCTCCGCGGAACCTTATTGGGGGATGTATTTAGGAACGGTGTTATCAGCTGGAAAAACAGAAGTAAAATTTACTGCGAGAACCCCTCAAAATAACACCTCAGATACTTGTACTCTAATTATTGATGTTATTGATGATGAAAAACCAATCGTAAAGGAATGCCCAGAAAGTATGGACGTTGTTTTAAATCATGGAGAGTATAGCAGAGTTGTATTTTGGAGAGAACCACATTTTGATGATAACGTTGGAGTTATTTCTGTTGTGAAATCAAAAGAACCTGGAGTTAGATTCGGTCCTGGTAAACATGACGTTACTTATGTTGCTTCTGATAAAGCTGGAAATCGGGTTATATGCGTGTTTGCAATAAATGTTAAAGGTAAAAAATTTCATTAATGTGAATAAATTAAATGCATCAAAATTTTAGGAGCTGAACATTTTCAATCTTCAAAACGTAACCAATATAAAATGGTTTTAGTTTGCCCAAACGGAGCTAGATACACTCCTGAAGACGCAGAAATTGTTGAAGTATAATTTATTAATTTTGCTCAAAATAAAAATTGATTACCATTTTTTTAGAACTCTGTTACAATGAATCATGGATGCAGATGGGAATACATAAAAATAAGACATCCTTCGCATCATAGATTTAAATCAAGCTCTCCAATGCAATATGTAGAAGAACCTTATAAAACCAGGTATTTTAGGAGGACGTATAAACCGTTTGCTTGGTACAATAACTGCTGTTGAAAAAATTTGTATTTCTTTTACCAAAATGAAGGCCCATATTAATTGTTTCTTAAATATTATTTGAAGATATTTAAAATCGATTTCATTATTTAATTTTACATGTGATCTAATGAATTTGATTTTAATGGTCCAAGTTAATGATTGCACTTTAATTCCATATTTAGCCGGCTTATTAGACATCCCTTTTCATACAAGATTATTTCTTATTACTACTATGAATATATGTCGACAAAATTTAAGCTCGAAAGATTATAATCTCCACTTTAATACACAAAACAGGTCAAGGAGTGCAGCGATGCGACATCATCTACGGCTTACAGAACATCTATGATTTATTGTTCTGATGTCTTTTGCACATTATTTACTCTTGTCTTCACACTCGTATCTTCTTTGCCAGTCCGTAAACTATATGTAAAAGCGTTCACGATAAGGGGAGTAATTATTCATATAATGCCATCGATTCTTTGTAAGCTTCTTCATACTGCTTACTAAGCCATAAAATATCTCTACCACCTACATCTAAGTTTTAACTAATCTCATCCAGCAACCTACACCAAAAGCAGTAACTTTTCAACCAAAATTCTATCAATTACTTTCAGAGACCCAACCCAACACAACACATTGCAGCGCCCGGATGCGGTGTTCCCAGATAAAATTATACGGAGAATCTATGACTATTTGATTAAGCCGTGGTAACTTGAGGTTCTGCAATTGATATCACACCGATAATAAATTTTACAAAAAAAATGCAGTTTTTTAAAAATCTACATCCATCCTAGGATTGGGACCTTGTAGGCTGGATATAGTCTGGCTACAGCAACTACTCTGTCATACTTAATGTTTTCAAAAGTCTATATCCTGGTATAACCCAGGTTCAGATTGATATCAGCAATCAATATACTATATAAAGAAGCCTACATCCATCCTAGAACGCTTACTATGCAGATTGCTTATGGAATGATATCAGTAATCAAACTATCATCTTCAGTATATTCAGAAATTTACATCACAAAATTAACATCGTCAATTTCAACAATAAATATGACATTCAAAGATTTTTCACAATAACCCGGATTCGGACTGATATTACCAATCAATATACTGAATCCTACATCCATCCTGGGAGGTTCACGTTGTAAACTGGATATAGTCTGGTTTCAGCAACCATTCTGTCATCTTCAGTGTTTTCAAAAGTCTATATCCTAGTAGACCCAGGTTCAGATTGATATCAGCAATCAATATACTATATCCAGAAGCGTGCTCACCATGTAGATTGCTTATGGAATGATATCAGCAATCAAACTATCATCTTTAGTATATTCAGAATTTTACATCACAAAATTAACATCGTCAATTTCAACAATATGAAATTCAAAGATTTTTCACAATGCTACATTTTAACATAACCCAGATTCGGATTATCAATCAATATACTAAATACTACATCCATACTGGTAGGGTCACGTTATAAACTGGATATGTTCTGCTTTCAGCAACCATTCTGACATCCTCAGTGTTTTCAAAAGTCTATATCCTAGTATAACCTAGGTTCAAATTGATATCAGCAGTCAATACACTATATCTAGAAGTTTACATCCATCCTAGGATGTTCACCATGTAGACTGGATATCGTCTGGTTTCAGCAATTTCATATCCTCCTCACTTTCACCATATCAATATGGCATCTCAAATTTTTTTAATCCTACGTGGGATAACCCAGGTTGAAACTGATATCAGCGATCAATACGCTATATCCAGAAGTCTACATCCTAGGATATTAAGCGTGACCTGTGGGGTTTTTAATGACCCCAAATGAAGACATCGCCAAAATTAAACCTCAAGAGGCTCGAATCAAACTCTTCAGACTCGTAACTAAATGTTTATCTTATTTTATGACCGAATTAACAAAAAATGTATGATTTTAATAAATTGGCAGTATCTCAAAAAGTTTAATAGATGCTATAGGGATGCATAACAGAGGATTTGTAGGCTATTAAATTTAGTGTGTTTCATTTGATGTGAGAGGCTCTGAATGTCAGCTTCTTCACTACATTTTGTCATGTTATTTATTTACACAATATATTGATATTCAACTGGAGTTGTTCAAGTTGTAGTGCTTATATTATATTTTGAAAGTCAGTTTTGTTGCTAATTTCATATATTAAATTATTAATGCAATATGATCACACATTTATATGGAAATTTGGCGTTTAGTCTGCAAGTAATATTGGCGTTAATCTGTCTCTTAGCTTTCAAAGATACAAGTTAGATTTGTGTTGGTTGCTTAAGATTATAGCTAATAAATACATACCTTGTAATGGTCATTACTCATTATTTCACATGTACTCACATATACTGAATCTTGATTTTCTATAATTTATTTGATTAATATGGGTCATAAATTTTTAAATATCAATCTTATCTATTAAAATTAATACTTATAATAATGTAAATACCTACTAATTTTAAGATTTTACAATGTGTTCTTTTTCATATAAAAATAAAACAATTAGTTCCTATAAACATTTTAATGCAAAAAAATTAATTACATCATTTAAGCCGATTCTGGCCCACCTTTCCATGGCTCCTTATAATTTTCAACTATAAGCGATTTATTCCTGCGTAATTTAACCTTAATATTATCTTCTTGTGGCTGAGCTTGGACCACTTCTACTCTTGCAATTACCAAAAAATTAGGATTCTTCATATCAACTCCTTTAATAACATCAATTTCATCACCTTCCTGTATACTTTTACTTTTCTTCAAAACCTTCTCCCCATTCACCCTTATTTTACTCTCATAAAAAAGAGTGTCAATTTTATTTCTGGCCATTCCAAGACCCGATTTTAACACTGAATCCATTCGTAGCGAGCTTAAAGTTGTTTTAATCACTTTTGAGTGACGATCTTCAGTTTCATTTTCAGAGGATGTTTCATCTTCCGCTCCGGATTCTCTATTTTGGGATTTTAAAGACTTCTTCTTGGATTTGTACCTTTTTATTAACAAGTTAAGATTGTGAGTTAGAAGAATAGTTTCTGGTGTTTTATAAACTGTGTTTAAGTTGCACGAAATGGGTTTTATTGAAAATGTTAATAAATTTCTTCGTATCACAGATAATAACATAATGAATGAAAATTTACGTTTATAGTAAATAGTTTGTAGGTTATATTGTTATTGAATGATTTCATTCATTACAGGGATTGATTCATTCAAAATTGCATTCATAAATTTGTATGTTAAGTTGGGGGAATTACTCGATAGATGGAGCGATGAGGTTAAAATATAAAAATAAGGTAGAAATGTGTGTTAAAAGAAGTTTAAAATAGGCGTAGAAAAAGAACCGTGACTAACATCGTGTTAAAGCGATAAGTTTAGGTAAAAAATTGCTAAAAAAATCGTAAGAAAGGTAAACGGTTTAATTTGGTTACGTCTTTTTACGGTCATCCTCGTAATTTTTTTGCGGGACTTTCTTGGGGGTCTTCACGCACAGGGTGATCCAACGTAGACAAAATAATAAACAGAACCAGAAAATCGTCGACAAAACATGCCGACAGAGTGACGTTTTTTATGGCGGTCACCCGCTCGGACCAGCGTATAACATTGTAAGTTTCAAAAAAAATTACCATAAAAAAATGTAAATAAAACTTTTTTATCACAACATTTTTGTAAAAACTTTGCTTTCTTTTTTAACGGTTCCTCAATAAAAAGGGGTCCGCAAAAAATCTTGGAAGGGTTTACACCCCCAATTTAACACAATAGGTACCACTAAAGAGATCGTAAAAAAAGAAATGTAAAAAAAAAACGATTGCTGAAATTCGTTTGGACTCCTTGGAACTCCGCAGTCTAAACATAAATGAACCTTGACCTGAACGTGTCAATTCAAGTGACGCACACGCGGATTCCTTACAACACGTGCTTTTTTTGCTATACTATTTGTTCAATATCTCGCAGGAGGATTTAAGATAATTTTTCGTTGACTTTTGTACTTTAATATCACAAAAAATTATAATATAAAAACATTACAAAAATTATGATTAAATTATATTATAAAAAATTCGTTAAATTTGTAACTTTACCTTGACCACGACCGAAAAATTAGTAACGGATTAGCTACCGTCCACCGAGTGACATATGGAAGAATGCCAAAGAGGCGTTTGACAAACCGTTTTCGGTGCAATTTCTATTTCGGCCTCAAGGGTGTTTTAAAGTTTTAAGACAGATTTCGAAGGGGTTCTACGACACCGTGGCAAACGTCTTGGTTCGTTTTATTTTGTCCACAATACCACCGCCTGACAACCACTGCGTGATTTATTAAATGTCAACGTTTCTGTACATTTCTCAGAAGAAACTCAACAACTACCGAAGAACAAGAGGTGTTTACAGTTTACGACCATGTTTTGACCAAATCGTTCTTATAACCGTGACCGTTTGAGTGATTCTGGTGATCATCTTCAAAGGGTTGTATTGGGTTTTACGGATAAAGGGTAAAATGCACAAGATATTATCGTGTTTTGAAACTTAGAGGAGAATTAGTTGGGTTGGTTTAGGTTGTTTGGTAATTAATTTTTAGGAGAAAAGGAAGTGTTTGCCATTTGATTTTTAAGGATCACCATGTGTGCTTGACACGTGGTGCGGTGTGCCTTCGACTAGCCAAACGGTCAAACTAAAAATTCGATACTGAAATTTGATATTTCTGTTTTAGGTTGCGAACCGACGATTCTAAGTATTTTATGGAAACATGTGTTTGCCAAATTTGACGGAATTTATTTATTTTTATCCAATTTTTTTATTAAAAAGTATTTATTATACTTAAAAAGTGGTAGCAAACATCGGTGTAAGTCAAGTTCTTTGTTACTGGATACTAAATCAACGTAGAACCTGCCGAGGATTTTAATTCAAATGCATCGTGGACAACTTAAACAACTTTGTGGAAGCTATCAGCGAAATAGAAATGGGCCAGGAAATATCCAAAGTGGATCAAAACTTTAGTTCAACTCTGAAAAGCTATATTAACGCCTACGAATTTCTAATCGATAAATATTTACCAAATGCATACACAACACTTGTCAAAATTCGTATGTGTAAACGTCTTCTAATCAATTTCATGGCCAGATTACATGCTAAAGCTCGTGAGGCGGTGGATGCAAAAGCTTCGATTATGATCCATCGCTCAAACCAGATGTACGGAACATCAATATTTGTACAACAATAGTATGGATAATTAAATTAACTCATTCCACCTGCGATATTACCACCTCGTCCAATGTTTTATCTAATTGTAAATCAATTAAATGATGAACGATTTGCCATAAGTTTAGCACAATTAAAACAACGATCATTTAGACCAGCGCCTATGGAAGTCGAAAACAATAATAAACGACCAGTATTGTGTATTAATAAACCAATTCTAAATAGATAATGGATGCCAAATACTATCGAGCTACTCTTGGAGACCACAGAAATTAATTGCTACGTTCAATATCCAAACAGTAATGAAATGGATGATAGAAAATCTTGAATTATGAACGATTATGTTCGTAATGCACAATAATTATGAACGATTTATTGAAGAAGAGGAAGATGTCATTTACGAAAATGATGCAATGACTCAGGATTTTCCTCAGGACACTTCACTTAAATAATCTACATAACAATTTCTAATAAAGCTTATTTGCAAGATTCTCAACTGCCATAAGTCGAATTTGGTCTTAAATCACTTATTAATTCAAAATTATATAACAAAGTTAAAGCCGTTATAATTCCTGTAACTGTAACACTTAAAAGTTCAAAATTGGCACCCCTCATGACATAGAAAAAAGTAAAAACACTATTTATGCAAGGCTTCCAGATGTCTTTAAATCATCTGAGTAACATTTATTTGTCAGTTTTGACTTTTCAATAACCTCTGATATATTATCTGGATATGATCTTTTCACGAAATTAGAAACATTTCTAGATACTAAGGAACAACTAATTATTATAGGTAATGGACAGATTTCGTACAAAATCAATAACGTGGAGTAATTAAGCCTCACTCGCAGTTATTATTTTCTTAAATCAGAAATAAATTAGGTGCAATCGTCATACCAAAATCTGTTCTCAACCCAAACCAACTAATGTTACAAGAATAACACCATTAAGTGGCCCCTTACTATCAGTACATACATGTGGAAGTAACAAGCAATCAAGATAGCCAATGGACAACAGTGGTAGAATGCAACCTTTAACAACTAATCTGTCAGACCAGAAGATTCAGTCATTAATGAATTATCAGGTTACCAACATTGAGAATGGATTACCATTATTTTCTGAAATCAGAAATAAATTAGATGCAACCCAACTAATACCACTAGAATCAATGCCCCCTTACTATCATTACATCTGGGAGTAGTAAGCAATTAAGTTAACTAATGGACAACAGTGGTAGAATGCGATCTCTTACTACTAATCATTCTGACCCGAAGATTAACTGAGGAAAAAAGTAGTTAGAACATCGTCTCAAGCTATAGTGAGAAACCTGAAAGATCTATTCCATCAATTAATTGCGGCAAACAACAGCTTGTTCCATGTACTAAAACTCACAGAGGTGCTTTTAACGTTTTAGGATCAATTATAAAAGCTATAATATATGAATTATATGGTGACCTATTGGTTCGAATCACTTCCGACTACAGCGTTCCTTTGGGAAAAGAAGTTCTCCGCACCAACGTACATAACTTACCAAATCGACAATACCAATTAGATACCACTGTTGACGTAAAAGGTAATTTTACGAAATTAAACAAAAAACTCCTATTAGTCTAGGAAGCTCAATGACCTAGACTCAATGACCTGAAAATTGGGTATAAAAAGAAATAAAAAACTTCGACCACCAAACAAGCCCAAATTTCGGAGGTAAGCTATTTTAACCCTTGGCTCACTTTAAGAATGGGGAAGTTACCACCTGTAGCACTTCCTTATTTTTTTTTTGTTGGGGATAAAAAGACAAACTTTTTATTATTGATAGATTAGATGATGATTGAGATAATGTAGAGAATGTACAATTATCAAAATTAAAAAAATTAGGAAGAAGAAAAAACTGGAAGTAGTAGAGAAATTGCCAAAGTGGACAAAGCGAGATACAACAAAAGAGATAAAATGATAAGTGGTTATTGTCAACTACCCGAACAGCAACTATATTGGTTTTTAGACATAAATCCATAAATATTGTAAAGTTATTTATCCGTGGAAAATATTCGTCAAAATAACTTATTTTGATCAATTTTGTATACAAATTTTGTTTGATTGAATGATTTGTGGTTCTTCTGGGTAGCGCTATTAGTTTGATACATAATGCAGTATAAAAATCGTAGTAATCATAATCATGAAAATAGAGTACCTGAGAAACTACTGATCTTGATGACTTCAAAAAGTTTTAATGACATATCAAAGATGAAAGTTTTCATACAAGCTTCCAATTGAAAACCCGAGGCAAAAAAAAACAATTTAAGAGAAATTCAGAGAGATACCTTGTTGCCATTTAGGCAACTATCAGAGGAAGCTGAATGAGGTTGTATTAAGCAGGAGGTTGCTGAAGCCAGAAATAAACACTTTCCTACAGATAGGCAAGAAAGTTTTTCTTTTACCTTCTTTTGACAAGTATTTGTCCATTGCTAAGAATGTCAAAGAAGCGATTTTCCAAAGAAACCATCCATCTCCGCCTTTGATCCAAAGCTACAATAATTTCAACTAAAAAAAGTTGAAACAGTTAATGTATAGATGAGGCTTCTCTTCACAGCCTTTACGGTAGGTTCTAATCCTCTTTAAGTTCCTCGGTACACGACATCCATTATTTGTGTTTGCTGTCTTGTAACATATTTTATAGGGTTTATGGGCTCGAGTCTCTCTTTCAGATAGTTCAAGACGTAAACGACAACTTCTGCTTGGAACTTCTTCTGCTGGCGAAGGGCATAAACCATAAGTAATTGTTTTGTGAAATTCCAGGATGGGTGTATCCGTTTGTTTGATTTCTTTATACATCAAGTCCAGGAGTTGATCGCAATAGCGTAAAAAATATCTTTACATGGATGATAAATATTTGAAAATGTTTGACGTAGGATTTTATTAGTCGTGTACCTTTGCGCATCATCCGCAAAAAAGTGAAAAATTTATCCACACATGAAATATGTCCCTGGCNTTTGAAAATGTTTGACGTAGGATTTTATTAGTCGTGTACCGTTGCATTTTGTCCACACATGAAATATGTCCCCGGCCCTGAACTTAAAATACATTAAAAACGTTCTGGCGGTGAACGTGTTAATGTATTCTAAGCTACCTTAAAATTACGAAAATGTTCTTTTAAAATATGGACCGTATGTAGTACTTAGTTAAAATAGTTGTTTGATTACCTTAATCTCACCAAAGGAGAATTGAGGAAAGAATTTGCAGACGAAATTAAAACCAAGCTCGTAGAATAGCATGGCCATAGGAATAAAGAGCTAGGGGAAGACCAAAGAAACGGACGGTAGAAGGATGATGCGATGGAAGACGCTGGAAGCGTGGCAACTAGAGCTTGCAATACCGGGATCCCGGTCAATTTTTGTCTGGTATTGATGGCAATATACCGGTATTTCGGTATTATTTATATTTAGCGCCCTCCATGGCCGGGGACAGCCGATGTCTTCGAAAACGGCCGTGCTT